ACTAATATGGCAGGTGGAATGGCTCAAGGTAGAATGCCTGCCTAGCAAGTATGAAGCCAGCCCTGAGTTCAAACCCCAGAATCGACAAAAAAAAAAAAATGTATTCTTTATAAGCTGGGCACTGGTGGCTCACACCTATAATCATAGCTACTCAGGAGGCAGAGCTCAGGAGGATCAGTTTGAAGCCAGGCTGGGCAAAGCATTCTCGAGACCCTATCTCGAAAAACCCTTCACAAAAAAGGGCTGGTGGAATGGCTCAAGGTGAAGGCCCTGAGTTCAAGCCCCAGTACCGCAAAAAAAAAAAAAAAAAAAAAAAAAAAAAACTAGTACAGTTTAATAAAATAAGTAAAATATTGCCAGATGCCAGTGGCTCACACCTGTAATCTAGCTACTCAGGAGGCAGAGATTAGGAGGATCACAGTTTGAAGCCAGCCTGGGCAAATAGTTCCACGAGATCCTATCTCAAAAACACCCAACACAAAAAATTGGGCTGATGGAGTGGCTCAAGGTGAAGACCCTGAGTTCAAGCTCCAGTACTGGAAGAAAAAAAAAATATATATATATATATAACAAAAAAGGGCTGGTGGAGTGGCCCAAATGGTAGAGTGCCTGCCTAGAAACTACAAAGTCCTGACCTGGAAAAAAAAAAAAAAGGTATAAATCAGGAACTTCCAAATGAGAGGCACATAGAACAAAATCTGAGAGAATCCCAAATGCAGAGTTTCCATCTCTCTTCAAGGCACATCACCCTCCTAACATATCCATGTGTTCACCAACCAGGAAGTTCTATGAGCTTTAACTCTAGTTGTTAAAAAGTCATTACATAGGCATGATTGGATTGCTGGCAACATATTAGAACTCCATCTCCAGCCTCCAAAGTCAGGATGACCTAAGTCCCAACCCTTTCACCTTATCTTGGTCTTTTTGGTAACCAACCCCCATCTTTCAGCAGAAACTCAGGTATGATCCAAGGGGCTCCTGAATACCAAAGACACTCTTATTTCAAATGTTCCTCAACTTATGTTGGGGTTATGTTCTTAAACACCCATTGAAAATATCCTAAGTCAAAACTGCATTTAACCCACTTAGACTACTAGACATGACAGCTTAGCAACACAGTACACTAGAGTATCAGTGTACATCCTCATGACCACAAAATGGCTGGGAACTGTGGCTCAATGTCACTTCCCAGCATCTCAAAAATATTGTACCACAGATTACATGGCTGGGAAAAGGCCAAAATTAAAAATTTGAAGTATTCTTTCTAGTGAATTCATATCACTTTCACACCATTATAAAATTTTTAAAGAAAACTTAAGTCCAAAAGTTTAGTCTTCTCAGGAACAAGTCACAAGTGCCAAATACTTTATTAGACTCCAGAAGAGAGATAAAAGTTCTGTCAAGTTATTTTTTTTTTCTCAAAGCATTTTTATTAGCATACATTAGTTGGACAAGAGAGTTCATTGATGACATTACTGAATATGCTTACATTGTACATTGGTTAGGTTCGCTCCCATCATCTCTGCCCCCTCAGCCCTTCCCCCCCGACACACACCTAAATGGTCAAGTTCTTATTATACACCAGAAGGGAAGAAATTTCTGGACACAGAAAATGAACACTTCAGCCAAGTGTGGTGGTGCACTTGGGAGGCTGAGACAGGAGGATCATGAATTCAAGAATTCAAGGTCAGTCTGGACTACACAGCAAGACCCTGTCTCAAAAAAATAACCAGGGCTGGAGGAGTGGCTCAAGTGGTAGAGTGCCTGCCTAGCAAGTGCAAGGTCCTGAGTTCAAGCCCCAGTACTACAAAGAAAAAAAGAAGGAGAGAAAGTGAAAAAGAAAGGAAGGAAGGGAGGGAGGAAAATAAAATGAACACTTCTGGGGGCTATAAACAGGAGACAGTCACCACCTCCCACAGGCTCACACACACTCACTAGGGAAATATGAACTCCTTCACGTTCAGATCACCCTCCTGCCCACTCTCTCACACACAGTTTCACACTGACCACACAAGCAGAACTCCTACAAATCAAACACTTGTTGCTCCAGGGACTCTACTGATTTGTCCATCTCTGCCCATCCTCCATGGCTTCCTAAGTAGCATCATTCCTCTTCCTGGCATACTGATGTTCTTGCCAGAAAGGAGTAAAGTGGGACAGTAAAGGGGTTTAAATGGTTATGGAGAGAGGCACAGCAAGTATCAGGGAGCCTGTGAAGGAATCTGAGTTCATGTCAACATCCAGGTCTGAGAATTAATCTTAGACTGTACCTGTGCCAAATAGCTGTGCTCTTGTGGTGACTGTATGTCCCTGTGTGACACTGGCATATCTGTGCATTGTCTATGTGTGTGCCTGAGTAGTGCAAGTATGCCCATGTCCTATGTGTACAACCCCTGTGATGTAGACATGCCTGTGTTCCAGATGTTCCTAGATGTGCTACTGCCTAAGGTGGGTCCTGGAGTCACTGGCTGCTCTTGTCTCTATAGGTTCTGTCTACTTTAGTCTTGGTTTCCCATATGAAAAAGGGGACAGTGCATAATGGTGGAGGAGAGAGCAACACTAAAGCTATGGGCACAGACATCCTGAATCTGTTAGGGCTGTGGCCTTCCCACCTCCGTGTCCCTTAAGCCCTAATGCTAACACCCACCCGCCAAGCTCTGAGTGATGCCAGTAACTCTGAGGACTCTGTTTTTTCAGTAAACCAACACTCAGCTCCTGGGAATGTTTTTAGAGTCTTTTGATATCTATTTCTCAAGGACGGCTGCAAGGTACGTTGTTCTATGAGTGTCTAGGCTCCTCCCTTCCCAATACCTTTCTCCAGTATCCCAGCCACACAGCCATCACCTTACTTCCTGTTACAGTTTAGACATAAAATGTCCCCAAAGGCTCATGTTTTGAAGTCTTGATTCCCAGCTGGTGGTGCTATTGAGATGTGATTGAATTATGAGGGATCTGATCATCAATAGGTTAATCCATTGATGGATTCATAATTTGATGGCATTATTGGGATTCGGTGGAGACTTTCAGAGGTGGGACCTCTTTGGAGGAAATTGGTCACTGGAGGCATGTTCTTGAAGGATATATTTTGTGGCCCAATACCTTCCTCTGTTTATTTCTCTGTTTCCTGGCCACCATGAGGAGAGCAGCTTTAAATCACATTTCCCACCATGATATTCTGCCTCACCCTAGCCCAGAAACAACTGAGCCAAGTGACCATGAACTAAAACCTCTGAAACTGTGGGCCAAAATAAATCCTTCCTAAGTTGTTGTTCTCAGGTATTTTGCATGGTACTGAAAAACTAACTATACACTTCCCTTCTTGCACAGTTCCTTCCATAAGGAAGCCCCTAAAAACGCCTTCCCAGATGTGGTCCCTAACTTCTGTCCCTCACACTCAAGCCTTCAAGAAAGCTGAGTTCCAAGGCTCCATTCTATCGGATTCCAGATTCACCACAATGAGAAGCCACCAGCTCTTCACACCCCCAGACCAGCCCTGGGTAACATGAATCATCAAGAGACTGAAGAAGTCCCCTGCCAACGCAAGCCTGGCCCTCTCCAGTCCTGCTTCTATCCTCCAAGCCCCTGTGCAATTCCAGCCCATGACTCTGCCTCCTTCCTTCCTCAGAGCAAGCACCAAAGCAGTTAGTCCATGCCAGCAACAGAGGAGGCCCTGTGTCTGAGTGAAGGTATGTGAGTCACCCTGGCCTGGGGAACCAAAGAGCAGAAGGGAGAATCAGGTATCCTGCTGCTGCTCTGCACTAGACCTGACCCAGCCAAGACGGAGCCTGGAGTGTCAGTGTGTGAACATGAGTGCAATTAAGAGGGTGAGTGTGGCAAGAGCACAGCCTCTCTATGTCCAGTAGACACTTGGCACCCATGGATCTGCCTGTCTGCTGTCTGGATGTAGTTAAGGCTGGGGAAGAGGGATATAAAAGATGGTGGGTAGTAGTATCCATTCTTCCCATTTCAGCCTCAAGAAACATTCATCTCACTTATTTCTGGTCATTCTCTACCAGATCCATCAGTTCAGTCCTAAGGTCCTCTTTCTAACACCATCCCCTTCCCCTCAAATTAATTCTGGCTAAGTTTGGCCCTTGCTATTTGCAACCCCCTATAATGGACTGTCCTTTTTTGGCTCTGGTGCAGCACCCTGTACCTCCCCCATTTATTGTAACAATCTGATTGTCCTCTGCTGTGTCTCCCTATCTATATCCCATACAATAGGATTTTGAGGGTGGAGACTCTGCCTGTATCCTTTACTACTACATACCCATGTCTAGCACAGTGCCTGGCATGTTGTACACACTCAGTAAATAGCTGCTGGTTGAATGACCCTAAAAAATAAAAATCACAGGAAGATCAGTCTCAGCTCAAGAGAGAAAGGGCAATAACCCTCTGGCTATTAGGTGACTTGGCCAAGTCACTCAGCTAATAAATATTTCCACAGTTTAGCCTGCTCTAGGCTGAGTTCTCTCTGGGGTTCTATTCCTTCTCAGCCTAGGTTCAAACAAGGAAAGCACGGCAGGTAAGAAACGCAGTTGGCAGGGCAGAAGCCAGGAAGGTGGGGGAGGGGGCAGGTAGGGCTAGAACTAGAGCGTTCCAAAGTACTTTTATTGCTGTCTCGTGCTGAGGCCTCAGCCTACCAAGGTGGAGCTCCAAAATCTGACTTCATCCTTATAAGAGAGTCCTGTGCCCCGCATCTTAATAAATCGTGACTCCGCCCCTTCGGTGACAGGATTTAGCTCATCAGGGCGTGACACTTTGGCTCCGCCTCCTGAGAACTACTGGTCCCACCCCTTCCGGCTGATAGGCAAGCCCCACCCCTGGAGTGGGACCGCGTCCCTGTGACGGAATGACAAGTTTCCGGGGCGGAGCCAGGGAGGGCGGGAGTTTAGGCCGCGCCGACCCCTCAGCCCCCCGCCAGGTGACCCTAGCCCCTGATAATCTTCACCCAAAGTCCCAAATCTCCCAGTCCCAAGGCCACCAAACCTCTCGCCTTGATCTTCTACATGCCCCAGGCCCCCGAGATAACCGTCCTCCTAACGCTAGTTCTAGCGCCTTCCAAATCTTCGGTCCCACCCTATCTCGATGTGGCAATTGGCTTCCGGGGGGAGGGGCACCTGCCTCAGATTATCTGCGAACTATCAGACTCGTCCGGAGAATGTCGGAGAAGGGGACTTGGGGCTGGGGAGTATTTATCCCAATCATGCTACTCCCCAGGACACGTTCGGAGCCCGGGACATGTCAGGATTGAGGAGATACGAAGTGGCGCTGGAGGCGGAGGAGGAGTAAGTGGAGGCGGCTGGCGCGGAGGAGGGGCCAGGCGGCTCCGGGTGGGGGAGGGTGCGTTCTCTGGCAAGCCCCCTAAGGGGCGTGGGCTACAAATGGAACCGCCTTTTCGGGGCGGGGCCTTCCTCGAGGTCAAGGCGTCCGAGGGGCGGGGTCTGTGGGGTCAGCCCCGCCCCGCCCCGCCCCGCCCCGCCCGGCCCGGCTCGGCTCTGCCTTCTCTCCGCAGGATCTACTGGGGCTGTTTCTACTTTTTCCCCTGGCTGCGAATGTGGCGCAGGGAGCGGAGGTGAGGGGGCTGCAATACCGCGGGCCCGCCAGGGGCATGATCGAGGCTCAGTCTTGGAGGACTGATCGGGGGGGAATCCAGCCACCCCCGCACCGCCTCATGCCATTCTTGGATCGCCCTACAGCTCGGCACACCCGCGGGAGCAGAAGCTGGAGCCTCTGCGTGACCTGATGAGCTGTCTGTCAAGTGGCCTGGGCACTGCTCCCCAGCGCTCAGGTCGTAGCCTTCTCTGCCGCACCGCTGCCACCGCTGCCCAGCCAGCTGGTGCATTAAAGATTTAAAGCGAAGCCCACACACTGCCTTCCTGACTGCCGCCGCAACCGCCATTATGGCGGGGAGTCCCTCTCCGCACCTGCTGTTTCCCTCCCTACCGGGCCTCCCCCCCCTCCCCGTGTCAAGGTCCCTGTTATTCCTAAAGGTCCCTCATCAGTGTCAAGCTGCCTGTTACTTTCAAGTGACTGCCTCCCCACCCCACTCCCCAAAAACATCCATCACTGGTAGTAACCTTTGTGGAGAAACCTAAATAATCCTAGCCTGATCTACCTCTCCACCTTATCCCCATGTTGATATGTTCCCACAACCCCATCTCTGTTACCACCTTCTTTCTAGCGAGAACTTGACCACTGTCTGAAGAATCTTCTCTTCCAAGAAGTTGATTTAAAACATTTTAAGGTTGTAGGCTGGCAGTGAGAGGGAGGATTACTAGAAGTTGCTCCTGGCACCATCCTGCCTCAAGAGAGTGATACGGATTGAGGACCTTCATACATTTAACACCCCAACCTGGCTTCTCCAGTTTGATCTCAATTTTAGCCTGGGACTGCCCCCAGCCACAACAGATTGTGGCTGGGAGGAAGAATTGGCCTTATCTTTGAAGAAACCAAAGGGAAGAGATGAGTACACACCTAAGAGAATTTGTTTTCTGCCTTCTAGAATTGTCAGTCTCTGGACTGACAAGTCCAAGAAAGATCACAAAGCTTATGGTAGGCAACCAGCTGATGGAGATCTGTGACAAGATGATGGAACCTGGAAGATTTCTTCAGTAGAAATTCTTGGACTTGTGTCTGGGGCACAAGTCCAGACTGAGAGTGGGAGAGAGACCTTAAGGCCTCTGGTACCAAAAATTGAAGATAAGCAGCCTCTGAGTTGTGATCACTTTCAAGAATGCACCTAAGGGGATCAAACCCAGGGCCTTGCGCATGCTAGACAACTGTTTTTGAACTTTAAATAAATGGAATCACAAAAAAAAAAAAAAAGCGCCCAAGTCCTTAAGCCATTTCCTCACAATTTCTACCTCAAAGACCCCTTGAAATGTCTAATGCTCTATCCATCCCTGGGTCCATACCTCTCTAGGATACTGTCAGAAGGCCTCAGACAAATTCCAGGAAGGGGCCTTAAAGCCTTACCTTGGACAGAAGAGAGGCTTGGGTTTTCAGCCTAGAAGGGGGCTAGTTCCTACTCTGGGAGCTGAAGTCCCTCCTTCCTGATTGTTGAAGCAGCACTGTAACAGAAAAGGCCTGCCCAGAGAAGGTATGAGTTCTGTGCCAAGAAAAAGCCCACCCTTTAGAGGGTGACTGGCCCCACAGCAGAAAACTGCAAAAGGCACCCCTGCAATATCCAGATAAGGGCTGCATTGTTGGCTTATGACTGTGTTGATACTTAAAATACTAAGCAGAATTTGAGGATTGAAATCCCCAGATTAGTAGGAGTCTGGGCTACAAACCCAGCAGCATGCCTCACCCTACGCAGTTTCCAGTTTCCCAGAAAAGACTGGATCAGGAGCGGTAGGAGTTTAGCATTGAGGAAGCGGGGAAGAGGAGATGTAGGCCTGGGTATGAGACTAGGAGAGGACAGGAAGGAGATTCGATGTGGTTGGACAGGACTACACTGGAAGAATGGGATGCGGTGGGAGTATAGGTTGGAAAAGTGGGTAGGGAGCAGGGATGATCTTCCAGGCTGAGTGTAGAGGCTAGTATCTGAGCAGAACAAAAGAAGGTAACTTGAATGTCTCCAAGCCAAGGACAGCCTGGAAACCCCAGACTCAAAAGTTGACATTCCTGGGACAGGATTAGGGAAAAACAAGAACATAAGACTTCTTGAGATTTTTCACCTGATTTGACACCAGCAATCTGTCACCAAAGAACTTTTATCACCTCTCCTGATCCAGAAGGGTCTGCCTTAGGGCCCATTCCCATCTGTTTCTCCTGATAAGACAGGCAGGTCTGGGCAGGAAGTAGGGAGGCAAAGATGCAGGCTAGTGCTGGCCTGCCTCGTGTTCCTATTCCACCCACAACTCCCCACAGAATGTGTGTGTGCAGTGCGATTTTGTATCCTGTGGAAACAAAACAGTGGGAGTGGGACTTTTGAGAATAACTGGATTCACGATTTTGTCTATGATTGTTCAATCATGGGTGTGACTTTGAAGTCTTGACTGACCAAGGTGTGACTATGAGTGTGTGGCTATGGGTATATGAGTGTGAATGTCTATCATTAGATGCCATTGTGGATCCTTAGCTGTCTTTAATCACTACTGTCAGCCCCCACATCATGCATTACTCCTTTCCCCTGCTTCTCTGACCAGGGCTTAGGAACCTATGGTAAATGGTGGTCCTAGAAGAGGAAGGGGTCTATGGCAATGAACCAAAAATTAGAGTTCAGTAGCATCACAAGATAAGCAATACATCTCCACCTGTCTCTGACTCACCTGGTGCCCCAGGCAAAATGCACTCAGATAAAAGGTAGGGGAGAGGAGGAGAAGGAAGTATCTAGGCTGAGCAGCATGAAGGGACTCTTGCCTACCAGTGGCCTCCTTCTGCTATTGTTGCTCCTAATTCCAGAGCCTGGAGTGGGTAAGTTCTTGGGGGTATAGAAGGCTGGGTGAATGGGCCAGAGGGAAAGGAGCCCAGGAAGTCCAACCCCTAGCTATTTCATGGAGCAGTTCTGAGTCCAACCTTTCTGAACAAATGGTCCCATTCTTCTATAGCATTGCCGCTGTCACCCAGCACTACCTGCTGTACTCAGCTCTACCGACAACCACTCTCCAACAAGCTACTGAGAAAGGTCATCCAGGTGGAACTGCAAGAAGCTGATGGAGACTGTCACCTACAGGCTTTCGTGTGAGCTCTGCCCCTACCCTTAACACCCCTGACTTACTGATGTTGATCCCAATCCCCAGCCCCCAACTGTTAATTCTGATGCCTACTGAGGTTTTCATCTAGCCTTTGCCCCTCCTGGACTCTAACCTTATCCCCAAGCTATGGGCACAGCTTTGGACCTTTCCCTTCCTAGGCTTCACCTGGCTCGACGCAGTGTTTGCATCCATCCCCAAAACCGCAGCTTGGCTCGGTGGTTTGAGCGCCAAGGGAAAAGACTCCAGGGGACTCTCCCCAACTTGAATCTGGGATTGCAAGGGAAAATGGCATACAGCCCCCAACAGCCAAAATAATAAAGCAGCATTGAACAACAATCTGAGTGTGACCGCCAAAACATCCTCATTCTCTTTATTTTGAGTCTTCACAGTCCCTGCCATGGCCAACAGCCAAGAACCCACACACATTCTCCAGGCACTTACATACATACTTGCAGAAAACACATATTCCCTGCCTCACATATATACAGTCACATATGGACACAGACATACACATCTACACACATGCTCAGGTGGACCTCCACCTCTGGGATGACATCAGAGATCCAGACATCTTCCAGCTAGCAAGTTTGTAATACAGGATCTCAAGGAAATGGGCTCTGAACAGAACTTCCAGCTGAGACTTCCATCCATAGGGATTACTGTCCTGCCTGGTTCTGTCCATCTAGCCACACCAGCAAGACAAGAGTTACAGGTGGAATCAGATGAAGTTCTCCTGGGTCCTCTACAGGTTTGGAGCACCTAGACAAGAGGCAAATCAGGAGACACAGTAGGACTGGGTCTTGGCCAAGACATCCTGAGAATGAAGTAGGGGGGATCAATTACAAGCCCAACACTCTGAGAAGGAATAGACCAGCCCAACTCTGAGGGAGCCCCACACCCAATGAGTAGATATAGCTGTGGGTCCAGGTACATTAAAAATAAGGGAGGGGAGCAAGCACTGATCTAAGACAGCCCAAGAAAAAGGATGGATATCCAGGTCTGAGTCCAACACCCTAAAAGTGAAGGGAGCCCATCTAGAATCCCTAGCACCCTGAGAGGGAGGAGCTCCACTTCTGAGCCCAAGTACTCAAAAATGAAAGGCTTAGCCTGCAGCCTAGCATTATAAGAATGAAGAGACCAACTCAGATTCCAAAAACACTTAAAATTACGAAAGTATCTGGCTCTTAAACCAGACATTCTCAAAACGGGAGCATACATCATCAAATCCACAGCTGGAGGTCCTACTCACCTTGAAGCCTGTCCACTGGAATCATTGGGTCCAAGAACCCAGACTTTTGGGGTCCATCCTTTCCACCCCATCTCAGTCTCAGCCTAGGGAATAAAAAGGCAGCTGTTTCCCCAATAATGTGGGGCATCTCAAACTCCTCCAAATTACTTAATTAGTTAAGGGTCAGGAATCAGTGTGAATCATAAAGTGAGGTGGAGGGGGTGAGGGTTCAGGTAGTGGAGAGATATTTCCACAATCAGGCAGGTTCAGTGGGAAGTCAGCAGAAAGTTATGAGGGGTGGGGTTGGATGTGGTCTCTGGGCATCACAGCATCAGTGAAGGTCTGAGACTGAGGAACCAAAGGCAGTCACTTACCAGAGCCCCAGTGCCAAGGCTCCAGCAGCCAGTCCCAGGAAAGAGAAAATTCCCAAAGATGCCAGCACAGCCACCTGCTCCAAGGGGTCCCTGTGATCTGAGGGAGAGGGTCACAACTCACTGTGAAAACAAGCCTAACCAAGCTCAGTGCCCCTTCTCTCAGGGACTTTCATCCTTTACAGTTTTTGCTTATCTGCCAAAGCTCACCAAGTGGCCGAGGGTCTGGCTGCAGGGAGGGCCTTGGAGGAGCAGCGCTGTCCACCTGAGCTACCGTCTCCAGTTGTTGCTGTGTAGGTAGGTGGCCCCCAACAGGCATCTCCTCTGTTAGGGGACCTGAGGGAAGGTGAAACCTGAGAAGTGTCCATGCATGCACTATGGAGGCAGGGCCAGGGCCTGGGTTAGACTTGGGGCCTAGGAGGCAGAAGTTGAAAAGGCATGGCCAACTTCTGAGGACTTATAGAACTGCAGGAGTGGAGGCCAGGTGCAGGACTTAAGATTCGACGGGATTATAGAGGCCTGGGACAGCAATACCAGTGCCTGCTTGACCATGAGGGGCAGGGAGATAACACCTGGCCACCTTCAGTGAAGCTGTCCACCTGGTAGAAGCTTTGGGGTTGAACTTCTACCTTTTTCTTTGGCTTTGTCTCTCACCAATGCTAGGAGTTCCCCAGACCTCAGGGCTCCAGGCACTCCAGGTGCCTGCATCCAGAAAGTCCCGGGCACTAACACGCACTGCATGAGGCAGCCCAGCCACAGCATCAGTGATCACCTCTTCCAAACCAGTGGGCTCCACCTGGGAGTGAAGATGGTTCCTCAGGGAATTACCCAGGTTGTAAGCATAGAACCCACCCAGCCCAGGTCTGCAAAGAGCCCGCCTTCCTTCCATTACCAGCCCTGTCAGCCTGGTGGAGGAGCTGGGTTTCACTAGGGGTGACTGATGGTATAGAGTCTACACCTAGAGTTTGGAAGGTGGTGGTGTGTAGTGATTACTTAATGGGGCCATGATGTCAGTCTGGCTAAGCTCAAATCTTTGTTATACCACTTACTTGATGAATTTTTGGCCTCTCTATGCCTCAGTTCCTTCATTTGTAAAATAGGGGTAAATACATCTAACTGAGATTTCTTGAAAATGTGTAGCACCCAGCAGGTAGACAGCACTAAAAATGGGTTATCTGATGCGGCTGCTCCAGGCCAGATGCCAGCCAATCTTTGACATGTACCATTATGGGAATTCACTACTATCCTCAGGATGGTACATGAGTGTTTATATGAGGCAGTATCTCTGGGTGAAGGATACTCCCTTTCCTAGAAGGTTTTTTTTGTTTTTTTTTTTCCTAAAGTCACTACTGTCTTCCCACAGATGGGATTATATCATAGTTAAAGGTCCCTCCAGGCAGAGTCTCAGTCTGTCTTTACAGCTGCAACTACAGTACCCAACGAATATCCTGACCCAAGGTGAGCACTCTGTAGTGGGAAGGCATCATCTTCAGAGATCTGAAAGTTCCTAGAAGCTATGCAGAACACCCAGGATCAGGAAACCAGAGACAGGACCCACAGACCAAGATTGAGATATACTCCAAGCCTCACCGTGGACCAAGCTGGATGCTGTGCTGGACGGTATTGCAGCCGAAACTTGAGCAGGAAGTGGGGCTGGCGGGGCCAGGAGACAGGGTATGTCCAACTGGCTCGCAGGCGACGGGGATAACCAGGTACTGACTCCACCCGAAGCCCCTGGGGTGGGTCAGGGCGCACTAAGGGCAGCCAGACACAAAGTCAGGATAGATGACAGGTACCCATCCCTTCCCCATCCCAAGGTGTGTGCTGAAAGGCACCTTGGACAGGGTGGGGAAATCTCAACTTGATTACCCATTAGCTTCAGGACCCATCTGACATCTCTGTTATAAAATAAGCTTCAATCTGAGGGCAAAGGTTTTGAAATGTTTGTTGAGTAAATAAAAGATAGATTCTTCTTTCCATCCAAAGAAGATGAAATGGCCCAAATTCCAGGCAGTTTTACTGCCCCCCCCTCACACACACACACATACACAGGAGGAATGACCAACAGGGGTCAGTTGCCTTCAGCACAAAGCCTAGAAACAGTAGGCAGCCACCAGGAAGGACCTGTGGGTAGTGGCAGTAGCCTCTAGAGCATATGCAGAAGTAATGGAGCCCATCTCATTGACTTCTTTGTCTCTCTGTGTGAAATGCAGCCTATGTTGGAAGGAACTGTTTGGGAGCTGGGGTGGGTTGAGTCTGTTTGGGATCTTTGTGATAAGGGTCTGGAGGGAGGTCTCAGGGCAGGGTACTCACAGATGCTCTGTAAGCTCACATCCAGCAGGCGTGTACTGGCACCCAGTGGGTTCACCTCAGTCACATTAATCCGGTACTGGCTCCAGAACTCTGCCCCATGAACCATACAACGGGCAGCCCCTAGGGGGTCCTGTGGGCATAGCCAGGGCCCTGTGGATGGACTCACCCTAGGAGGGAGGATGTGGTCATGGGCTTTGGAAATGCTTATTGTGGAATACAAGTTGGAGTCCCCAGCCTCTCTCTCATAACTTACCTCTCACTATCAGTTCCTGGCATAGTCTTCTTCCTGATGGAGACAGGGCCATCTGAGGTCAGGAAGAAGAGGTCCTCTACTCCCTCTGAGGAATTCCTCATAAATTGCCTCCCTGACTCCCATCCCCACATCATGCCAACACACCCAACTGCACAGATATACACACCCTTTTGTGCACACACCTGTAGGAGCTGAGGTAGCGGGTGGGTAAACCGCTGACCTGGCTGGGACTCCAAGTACAGGAGAAGTTTTCATAGTCAGCTGCTTGACAGGAGACTACAGGACGGGCTGGGGGGTCTAGAGGCAGAGGGTACAGCTGAAGACCAAGCACTCCCCAGCTCCTCCCTATCGCAGAGGGCTTACTTGAGTTATAGGTTCCCTTAGAAATCCCAGGTCTCATCACTGCTTTCCTCCCCTAACTTACAGCCTAGCTTCAGGTTCACCGTGCCCACAAGTGCACCATCCAGCATCCGGCAGATGTAAGTGCCCTCATCAGTGCTGTCTGCCAGGGCCAGGATCAATTCATGCCCTAGCCCTGAGTCTGGTCCTTGGAGCAGCCTTGACTCCCCATCTCGAAACCAGGACACTGGGGTCCTAGAGATGAGATAAGGCAATGACAGAGAGATTTAAAGTATAAGTCAGACCATGCCACTATTCTCCACAGGCTTCTAACTGCATTTGCAAAGCACAAGGTCCTGAATTCAAACTCCAGTACTGCCAAAAACCAAAACAAAAGCCATTAATTGTAATAAAATCCAAAATCCTGAGCCAGATGCCAGTGGTTCACACCTATAATTAGGAGGCAGAGATCAAGAGGATTGCAGTTCGAAGCCATCCTGGGCAAGGGCTGATGGAGTGGCTCTGAGTTCAAGCCACAGTAACAAAAAAAAAAAAAAAAAAAAAATCCAAAATCCCTTCATTGGCTTACAAAATCCCTTGTGATCTATCCTTGCCTTCTTTACTTTTTCAGCTCCTCCCTCCTTCCCCTTCACCTACTGTACTCTGGCCACACTGCTTTTTTTTTCTATTCTTCAGAAGAATTGCACTCCTTCCTACCTCAGGGTATTTGCATTAGCTGTTCCCTTTGTCAAGAATGCTTCTACCCAAAAGAGGTTGCCTCTTTCCTGATCTTCAGAAATCAGTTTCAATGTTACTTCCTTACAGACCTTCCCTGATTACACCAGCTATCCTCTTCCATAATTGTGCTCTTTGGATTTTCTGTCCTTGCAGGTATTTCTACATGGCAAGATTCTTGTTTGCTTATTGTCTGTCTACTCTATGAAGACGTAAATTCTGGGAGACAGGCAACTTGTATGGCTTGTTCATTGCTGCATCCCAGAACCTAGAATAGACCAGGTACTTAGCAGGTGCCCAGTGAATATTGGTTTTGTGTGTGTGTGTGTGTGTGTGTGTGTGTGTGTGTGTGTGTGTGTGGTGCTGGGGGGTCAAACCCAGGGCCTTGTACATGCCAGGCAAGTGCTCTACAACCAAAGTACATACCCAGCCCCAGCCCTGGCTGAATTTTTTACTAAATAAGGATGATTAGGGGGTTAGGACGGAAAGGTGAGGATTATAGTCAGAAAGGGCAAGGATGGGAGGTCTGAGCAGGGTTACAAAAAGGTCATGAGTGTCAGATCAACAGGCAGATAGGGCACTTACCCAGCACTCACTCCAGGGCAACACAGCATCACCGACTTGCCAAGCTGCCCATACTGGACCCCTGTGAAGGGCACTTCTGAGGTGAAGTTCTTCTTCCTCCCCCACCCTCACTTTAGGAAAAGTGACAGGGTAAGGAGCAGACTGTCAAGTTCTGGGTGGGGTCACTGGGTCGAAGCATCAAGTTACACTCTGACAAAGAGTTCAGAGGACAGGGTAGAGAAGGGACCCAAGTTGCCAGTGGGGGCGGGAATGTCCACAATTTAAGCCATGGGAGGGGGCTACAGTGAGGATGGCAAGTCTCAAAGTTGTGGGGGGGGGGTCACAGAGCAGCATTTTTCTTACCTGGGGGACCCCAGGCCTGGGGGCAGGGAGAAGAGGAAGACACAAGGGCTGTAGCCACAGCCACCAGAACCCTGCTCAGCCCTAAGCAACTGCAGCTCATCTGTGGAGAAAGACAGAAGGTCAGGGGTCCCCTCACTGAGATACCTGAGGTTCTAAGGTCCCCTTTCCCACCATATACCCAATGCTACAGAAACACACACACACACACACACACACACACACACACACTCTCTCTCTCTCTCCTCTCTCTCCTCTCTCTCTCTCTCTCTCTCTCTCTCTCTCTCTCTCCATCTCAGTCCTGGGCTTGGGGCCCAGAACAAAAGCCGGAGGCAACAGACTGTGCCAGCAGCAGCCACCCCACACACACACACACACCGCCCTTGGCGCCCACCCTTGGCACCAAGGGTTGGCACTGGCTCAGCCACTCCCATTAACCCCTCCAATGCATCTGTTGGAAATTCTGGCATTCACCCCACCTGTCCAGGGCTAATCACTGCCTCTGACTAACCTGGGGCAAACCTTATCACCCTGAGGTAGGGGCAATAGACGGGTACAAACCCACCCTGTAATCCCACCATGAGGCCCAGCCCTACTCTGATTGCCAAGCCTCTGGCCTGGGCCTGGCTCCTTGTTCTGGCTACTTGGTTCATTCAGCTGGGCCTGGCTTGAAATTTTGTTGGTCTCAAGCTTGTGAAGCTGGATGAGGCTAGGGTGCAGGCTGGGGCTGCAGAGTTAAGCGGATCCAGATGCCCTGGCTGCGCCAGAGGCTGGGGGTGGGCGAGAAGCCAGTAAATGGAAATGGAGACAGGGTGGCGGAGGGGGGAGGGGGCTGGGAGCCTGCAAGTACGGGGGCCTGGTGTGCGGGCCACAGCACCAAGAGAAAATGTCCTCATTACTGTGATCAGGGACAGGAGGCGGTGAGGGTCGATGAGGTGAGGACTGACTTGGGGACAGTGAGAACTCAAAAAGCCTGAGCAGGAGCTAACAGTGTGTGTATATGGTGTGGGGAGGAATGCTAGGAAAGAGGATTTGGGTAGGGGGTGAGAAAGACAAAGGCAGTGGGGAAGGGGCAGATGGAAAGAAAGCCCCTGACAAGAGTGCCAAAAAAAGGAAGGACATGGACCCCTCCAGAGGAGGAGAGCTTCCATGTGTCTGTGTGTCAGAGTGGGTCTTGTTGGATCTCCCCTGGTCCCCCAGCCACATTTACCCTGCTTGGCCCGGCATACCTCGGTGATCACAGTGGCTGACTGTCCATAGCCTCCAGGACTTCCTCCTACCAGCTACACCACAGGCTCCTGCTCCACTCAGTTCTGGGACCCCAGATCCATCCCAGCCTTCCCCTCCCCCTTCCCTGCCCCGCCCCCTCTGGGTCCCAGAGCTTAGCCACCCCTAGCCAGGCCCCCTCCTCCCCTCCTATCACCTTCTCCCTCCTTCCTCTTTCTTCCTCCCTCCTCCCCTACTACCCCAGCCCCTGGGAAAGGAAGAAGCCTTCCCCCAGGCTAGAGTGGAAGTCACAGACACAACCTGGGTCAGCAAGGGATAGAGGAGGATTGTTTATGTTTAAGTCCCTGTCAGTAAGAGATTCCCTGTATTTTCACACAGCCACCAGTTCACAAAAAAAAAAAAAAAAAAAAAAACCTCCTTTGAACACACGTGGACATACTCAAACAAACAAACAAACAAACAAAACAGACATAAACTCCTGTTCCCATTCTTTTCATTCTCCAGCAAATATTTCCTTAGGGCACAGCTGACTGTATTTCCAGGAGAAGGGAGGCCCAGGCTAGGGGAAAAAGGAAAGGCCAGAGTCCAGTTCCCCCTTCCCTGGAAGTTCCAATCATTTTTCACCTCCTGTTCACCCTTTTGGCCCCAACACCAGGAAATGCCTTTGGTCCCTTGGTGCTAGATACACAAGATTCACACTTACCCTCACACTCACACTCTCAGATACTGTCACTCACAGTTACACTGTCAGGCATCTTCGCTGGGACTCATATACTTAACATCTCTCTCTCTCTCTCTCTCTCTCTCTCTCTCTCTCTCTCTCTCTCTCTCTCTCTCTTTCTCTGCCCCTGGGGTGGCAACACTCCTAGCTCCTGATCATGAGAAACTCCCAGGAGCTCTTAGCAATGGAGTATCAGCATCTCGTCATAGTTACAGGCCCCCAGGTAGCTAGAGACAAGAGTAAACAGGGAAGGTAAACATAGGGACACTGAGAGCATGAGAGCAGAACTAGAAAAGCAGATACACAGAGACACCTGGGGGAAAAAAACTGTGGCAACCCAGAGCAAAATATCTCCAAGAAGATAGTCATGCAGAGAGGGGAAGAAATACAAGGAAACTGAGTCAGACAGGAAAACAGAAAATAATAAACCAGGGATGGAAACTTTTTTTTTTTTGGAGGTGCTGGATGGAACCCGGGGCCTGGCTCATGCTAGACAAGTTCTCTACCTCTGAGCTACATCCCTAGCCCCATGGAATAGAACAGAGGAAAAAGAAAGGAAAGCCACGTGTGTTGGGGATGGAGCTGTCCTTGTTGCAGGCTAAGTAGAAAGGTTAGTTGCACTGGCTATGAAAACGGGTTCCCAATTTATGAACACAGCTATACTCCCATATGGTCTATGTTAGGACACAGGACACACACATAGTCACAAGTCTCACTCTTTCTCTGCTACTGCTGAAGTCACACCTTGGCACACACAAACCCAGCCACCCACTCTCACACTGGCAGACACAATCTTAAACCCCACAGAGACCTTCCCAGAACACATTCCCTGATGTGGTCACAACCCCTCTCTCACACAAACACACTGCCACATCCCACCAACCTACCCACTGACAGACAGACACAGACTCCCAGCCTTGCACCGCCACATGCAAACTCAGCTACAGGCACTCCCACCCACCCACACATTAGCTGACAGTTGCGCCAAGTGACACTCGGTTAAGGAGTCTCAACACGCTGACACCTTCGCACACAGACACCAGCTCACAGTCACACAGACAACAGTCCATGGGTCACTCCGGATCATACACCACTCTGCCCCGCCCCCTCCTGCCAGGACTTTGTCGTCAACACCCTCCCGCCTCACCAGGCCTCACCTTCCGCGGCCGCCGCCGCCAGCGCCCTCGCCCTCGCCCTCTGCCCCGGCCTCTACTCCCTCCCGCCCTGGGCTCCCGCAGTGGGGGCGGCTCCGCCCAGGCGCCAATGGAAGGAGAGAGGTGAAATAGGGGGGGCTCCGGACTCATTGGAGCCTCCAACTGCCAATCACTTCCACCCCCACCTCCTCCGGACACTTCCTGTCCCGTCTGGGTCGGAGGAGTGTGCCTGAAGAGGATGCCCTGACTGGGTCTGAAGCTGGATTCATGAGACTTGGCTTGAAAGCCCCATCTTCCCCCTCCAAACTCTTCCCCCTCCCACATGTCCACAAACAAAGCCTCAGGTCCACGGCTCAGGAGCCACTGGGCAGGTGACAGGAGAAATTGAAGGTGCCTCTGACTCCAGATAAGATAAGGAGGTAGGCTGGTCTAAACAGTGGTTCTCAAACTTTACTTAGTACTGTGGTTTTAGAACTGCCAAGCCCCATCCCATACTAGTTAAATCCGAGTATCTGGAGGTTGAACCTGGACATGAGTGTTGTTTAAGACTGTGCAAAATGCAGCCAAAGCAGAGGTTGAGGTCAGGGTGTGTCTGTGTGTTTATGTATGCCTTAAGAAACAACCACCCAGAGCCAGGCACTGGTGGCTCATGCCTGTATCCTGGAAGCTACTCATGAAGCAGAGATAAGGAGTGCATGGGAAGCCAGCCTGGGCAAATAGTTTGCAAGACCCTATCTCAAAATAGCAAACACAAAAAAGGGTTAGCAGAGTGACTCAAGTGTTTAGCAAGCCTGAGGCTCTGAGTTCAAGCCCGAGTACTGAAAAAAAAAGAAGAGGAAACAGCCACTTACCCAGTCCTCTAATCCATCTATTCCCCATCCTGGGGGGCTCAATGGAGATGCCTACAAAATGCTTACTAGGTCTATCTAATCATCTTCCAGACCAGAGCAACATGTCTAAGTGCTAGACATCACCCCTCCAAGGTCTCGAGAAAAAAGATTCAGGACTGGAAGGCAGACAGCCAAGGTTCTTCTGGGCCAGGTCCAGTCACTGTCCAGACTTATTATTAATTTCCTCACCCAGAGATTCAGTTTCCATGGGAAAGAAAAGAGACCAAAAGTGTTCTGGCCATTCCTGCACTACTCACAAGCCTCACCTTCACCTTGAAATTTGCAAAGCACCAAATGGCATCTAGTTTTTTGAGTCACATTATCTGTTGTTTCCCCACTGTCACATGGGAAAACAGATCTAGATGGGAAGGGGTGGACCCAGGTTCATTCTGAGAACCACAGCTTCCTTCTAGGCCCTGGGGCTCCTACCTCTGACTGCCCCTTCCCTGCCAGAGCTGTTTTCTGCCTTGTGCAATGATTGGAGCATGGGGGCAACAGGTGTACCGAAGCTGCACATACTGTACTTCAAAGTCTGAGGAAGCCAAGGACACAAAGCCACATGCACCAAAGCCACATGCACGCTCCCTACCCGCCCCTTCAGCCCCTGTGGGCTGGAGCAGAGCCAAGCTGCAGCCACTCACAAAGTCAGGGTTCTGGCTAGCAGCCCAGAGTCTGGCCACTGACCACTGGGATCAGAATTCTGCTCACCCTCTCCCAACCAACCCCTGAGGCCTGGGCTCAATGAGCTGACACCAGGCTTAGCAGTGAAGAGGGCTCTGGCCTTCCCAAACCCTAGTCATAGCTAAGAACATAAGATTTTAAAACACTTTGGTAAACTGTAATGATGTTTATATACCATGAATAAGAGAATTTATAGACCAGATGTGATGCCAAATATTACTTTTGTTCAGAGGTTTGAGGTGGAATTTTTTTTTGGCAGGGCGGGGGGTGGGGGGGGAGTGGGGTGGGGGTGGTGTGAGACAGGGTCTTGCTATGCAGCCCAGGCTCAGGCTTACCAGGAACTCACTATATAGACCAAGTTGGGCTCAAACTCGCACTGATCCCCCTGCCTCTGCCTCCCAAGTGCTGGAATTACAGGCATGAGCTACTATACCTGACCGGGATGGAATTTTTGCATTAAATTTTTGTAGGTCTGTAGGCAAGGAAAAGTGGTTAAAACCACACTTGGGCTTTAACCCAATATCCCTAAAGATTAGAGTTCACACTCCTCTGGTGTGGGAATAAAGATCAAGAAGAAGTTTTATTGATGCCACATTTGCCCAAACACCAGGTCCCAGTTCTCAGGCAGGATTCAGGGCCCTGTGGTCAGAATGGTCAGGCGATGGCTGCTGCTTCCCTGTCCTTCTGTCCCAGGAGGTAATGTACCTCAGGAAGTGCTCTTAGTCTCTCTGCAGCCTGGAAGAGGGACAGAAGGCAATCAGGGAGAGTAAAGGCCATCCAGAATGGTGAAATGGACTTCTGAACACCCAGGAGACACTTAGGGAAGGCTTTTAGATTGGGAGACTGGTAACCAGGATGGCTGAAGCCACCCTCTGGTGGAATTGAGCAGCCCAGGTTTTCATGAGGATTTTTAGGCTCATGATTACTGAGATCCCTTGAGGAAGTAGGGGTGAAAAGAGGACATGAGGACTTGGGATGCTCCAAGTCCTGACCTGCTCGGGGGTGAGGTCCCTCTGAGCCTGGGCAAGCATTTCATAGCCAACCATGAATTTCCGAACAGTAGCAGAGCGCAGAAGTGGAGGGTAATAATGAGCGTGCAGCTGCCAGTGGTCCCATTTGGCCCCGGCCTCTGATCCTGTGGGAGCCCCTGACAAAAAGAAGACAGAGATGGTGGAGAAGGCTCTTTTTTGGTCTTTACTGTAGCCTCTATCCCCAAACCAGGCCAAGTACCTGAAAACTACATCTCCTGACATCTCTGCCAGTGAGGAGCCCAAGCATTAGAAAATACATAGGTGACAGTCTTACCAAGTTTGCTGCTCCAACCTCAGTCCTATCATCCCTGCTCTGGACACTTCCCACTAAAATTTTCAATACCTGTTCAGGGTTGTAGTCCCCTGAGCTGCAACCTAGAGGCTCAGAAATAGTGTTGAGGTGAGATACAGGCCCTCAAAAAATCTTACCATGCCAGCCCATAGAGTAGGGAAAGGATGTCTCAAATAGGTTGTCATACTTCGTCAAGAGCTTCTTCATGACAGAGGCTAGATCTGAAATCAGAGCCTGACTCTCAGTCTGGGAACCAAATGCTGGCCCTACCAGAGCCACTCCACCCAGTATTCACCCCAGTATCCCAGCTGGGAGACTCACCATCACGCTCAGCAGGGGTCAGCTCAGGGAGGCGCCGCACATGCCGACGGGGCAGAAGTAGAGTCTGGAAGGGCCACACTGCCCAAAAGGGGACCAGTACTAACCAGTGCTCACTGGTTAGTACCAGACGTTCCTGGCCACACAGAAGAAAAATGAGTTCATCAAAGTGAGTGTGAGGGGAAGGAGCCAGCAAATAAGCAAGGGAAGCAGAAGAAAAGAATCTGATGGATTCTTATCACTACCACCCTACTCTAAAATCACCATCACCTTCCTTTAAATTATTAGACTTGCTTTCTAGCAAGTCTCTTGCTAGTTCTCTTCTGCCCTTATCCTTCACACATTTCTGTTCTGGGGTAAGAAGGCTAAGAACTCATTGGGGACACAGGGCCTGCCTGTCTCCCACCTTCCTAAGGAGCTCTTGGCGGCTATACTCCATTAGCAGAGGCTCTCCATGCTGACTCTGATAGGTCCGCTGAGACTGCTCTTCACACTGGGCAATGTTTGGCAGGAAACTGCTGGCCCATACCTGTCAAGAGGTAGGAGCAGAACTACATCACTAGCATATTTCTTTTGTCCCATCCTTAATCCAGCCCACAGTGCTGTCTTGGAGTCAGCCAAGAAAGTCATTGCAGTCCTTCACACATTTACCTGGCAGTGGGGATGGGGGTTAGAACAGCCCATCATTGCTCCTTTGTTTTCAAAGATCTATTGGGTAGGAGGAGAGAGTTTTATAGTTGAAAAGACATCAAGTCAACCCTTCCCGACCCCCTGAACCAGTTGCACCTCTCCTTCCCTGCCCTTCCAGGGAAAGGGGCAATCTCACAGACCTGTACCCAAGGGTACTGAGCACCCAGCTCCTCTGTGACTGAGGCCCATGCATCGACGACAGCTCGGATCTCAGGGATCGACATGAGTGGCAGTGTCACATCCGACCAGGGGTGAAAGCACATGACTTTACTAGGTGGTGAGGGAGGAAGGGACAACAGAGGGATAGGGATTAGGTGCTAGGGGCGGGGCCCAACCCCAGGATTTAGTCTTCAACCCTGGATGAAGGTAGTAAAGAAAAAATCAGTAGTTACCAAACTCCTCGGGCAGCCTCTGCTTGGAAAAGGGGGTGATCACTGGGTCCTGAGATAAAGGAACATCATCACTCTCTGCAGCAGAAGTTCCCCAATAGGTCTGGCCTTCTTCCTCCCCCAAAGTGGTTAGAATCAGCGTACCTGGATCAGGGGCATCAGGCTGAAGAGCTGGGAAGTCATTATCAAACAGGAAGGTGCCATCATAGTGGGGATTCACCTACTGACAAGGATAAGCTAGAAACATCACTACCCCATACCACCATCATCTGGTGGGTTTCAAGGGTTGCACAAGCTTCAAGGGGTAGAGAGAAAGACCACCCCAGGGAACAAAAAGGCTTGGTGGGATATGACCCAAAAGCAAGTGCACTGCTCCCTCTTGTGGGTGGAAAGGCAGCTCTGAGGGGAAACTCCTCTTCCCTGGCCCACCCTGTGGATGTGGGCTCTATAGGCTTACCTCACCATTGGCCCTTGTGGCCCCAGGACACAGAGGGTTGAGGGGGTCATAGCGGGGCACTGTCTTCAGAAGCTGGGGCTCCACTTGCCCTTGCCAAGGCCGCTTCATGCGGTGAGCTGACACCAGCACCCACTCATCATGCAGCGGGTTGTAGCGGATATGCTGATGCTCTAGGGACAGAGACAGTCACGATCAGTCAGCAAAGCTCTCTGGCTCCCCCTCCCTGCTCTCACCCACTAGCAGGCCCAAGCTCAGGGCGTCCTCTCGGCCCTCCCCTGCTCAGAAGCAAAAGGCCCAGGACTTAATTTTCCCAGCACCAAACGGCCTGCAGCCCCTCTCTCGCCCCTTGAGCCCTCCTTGGGGTGTGCGCGGCGACCGTGACTTGGGATCGAGAACTTCCTAAAGGAACCGAGGGCTCGGCTAGGTGTAACAGCGAGTCCCGGCCGTCCTGCAGTTAGTTACCGCTCGCCCGGAAGGTTGGTGCCGTGGCGTCCGCCTCTTGGCGTTGCTCAGGATCAGTTCCACTGCGAGACATGAGGCTGCTCTGGAGATCGTCAGGAATGTCTGCCAGACCGCGACTCACCCATTTCAGTCAGCTCTGCCCTCACCCCGCCCGCATGATTGGTCAGCCGCCAGCACGTGACAGCCTGAAGGGGCCGCGGGCCACCTGGGGGCGGGACTCAAGAAGGCGGAACACCACGCGGGATAACTTTCATGATCTCAAGTCCCCCCACTGCTCCAGAAAAACCTTTGACAAAACTGCCAACTGTAGAGTCCTTCTGCTCCAGGACGCTTACAAGACTTCGCTTCTGCACACAGTCATTCATCTGCCCATTCATTCAGCAAATACTTACTGAGCTTCTACCATCTGCGGGACACTAAGGCTTTATGAAGAGCTTGGGGATGCCCCTGGGCGCACAAGTCAGGCATGGTCTCTGCTCTCCCGGAGTTTATAGTCTAGGATAAGTAAAAGTATGATCCTGGATCTGGACCCACAGTTACCTCAGTCACCTGCTAGTGACTATGGTGGATAAGAAGCAAACTTGGATCTGCTATAGTTGAGCCCTGAACCCTCAGGTGTTGCCTGCCTGGAGGAAAGGATACTTCACCATAACTACCTCATCCTCACCAACAGAAACAGGTTAGAAAAAAGAGCTAATCTCTCTTTCATCTCTCTCTCTCTCTCTCTCTCTCTCTCACACTCACTCACACACACACACACACACACACACGTATAACTCACAGACCAAAGATGCAAGAAATGGGTAGAGTCAGAGAGCTAGAAGAAATATTATAACGAGATCAGGACATGGTGGTACATGCCTGTTAACTCCAGGACTGGAGAGGCTAAAGCAGGAGGATCATAACTTCAAGGTCAGCTTGAGTGATACAGCAAGACCTTACCTCATAAATAAATAAATAAATAAATAAATAAGCAAATTATAATATATAGTCTGGTATATATGTGCCAGACAGTGATATTCTTGTCTGTGGTCCCAGTTACTCTGGAAACTCTGAAGGCTGGGCCAGGTATGGTGGTGCATATCCATAATCCCAGGTATGCGACAGGTAAAGGTAGGAGGATCACAGTCTGAGGCTGGCCCTAGGCAAAAAGCATGAGACCCAATTTGAAAAATAAACTAAAAGCAAAAGGGGTTGGAGTTGTGGCTCAAGTAGTGGAGTCAAGTGCATTTTGAGTTTGAAAATGTAGAGAGGAGAGGACATCAGGAGCTCTGACCACTATCTGGGAAGTATCCTGCTCTTCTCCAAATTATTCTTCCATTGGACCAATTAGCTAACACTAGGATAGAATTCAAATTAATTCCTTCCCTGGGACTTTTTCTCTTTATTTATTTATTTATTTATTTGGTGGGACTGGGGTTTGCAGGGCTCCATGCTTGCAAAGCAGGTGCTCTACCACTCAAACGACACTCCAGTCCATTTTTATGTGGTTATTTTGGAGATGTAGTCTCACAAACTTTTTGCCCAGGCTGGCCTCAAATTGCAATCCTCTGGATGTCGGTCTCCCAAATAGCTAGGATTACAGGTGTGAGCCACTGACACCTGGCTTCCCCAGACACTTCTAAAGAGTCATCTAAATATTGTCTAAACTTCTTCCCCACTTCACAGTGGGGAACAGAGGCCTTAATGTTACCCAGAAAATGAGTGTCTAAACTGAGAGTTGGGGGGTTTTTTTTTGGGGGGGAGGGCATAGGGGAGTTGTTTGTTTTTGCAGTGCTGGAATCCAACCCACAGCCCCATGCATGCTAAGCAATTGCTCTGCTGCTGAGCTACACCCCCAGCCCCTCAACTGAGATTTTTTTTTTTTTTGGTTTGAACTCAGGGCCTCACACTTGCTAAGCAGGCGCTATACTATTTGAGCCACTCTGCCAGCCCTGTTTTTCATGTTGGGTATTTTTGACAGAGGAGCTTGTGAACTATTTGCTCCGGCTGGCTTTGAACCAAGATTCTCCTGATCTCTGCCTCCTGAGAAACTAGGATTACAGGTGTAGCCCCTGGCGCCCCTCTCAACTGAGATTTTAATGCAGATTGCTAAGAAAATTCCCAGTTTTGTGAGATGTCTGTAAGACTTCAGAGGGACTCAGGACAGAAACCTCATGAACTAGGAACTGGACTGTAGTAGGGAAGCCCCTTTCCACAAGCCAGGCCAGGCTGCAAAATTGGGTCATTGGTCATTTACCTGATCTCTGCCCTTAGTCCTCAGTCTGGAATCCAAAGAGGCCACTAGTTAAGGGGCAGAGAGCAGGACTGAGAAGAGAATTTTACCTGCCCCACTGGCTGCAAACTGGTAAGAAAAAAAAAAAAAAAAAAAGGCAGGGGGAGGGGCGAGTGAGGGTAGGAGACCTGCTTTTCTACTCTTTGAGTGACAGGATTTTGGAGGCTACTCCATTTTCCTAGGAACACCAATATTTCAATGCTACTCCCTAAATCATGTCAAATGATTCCCTCTTTCAGGAACGTCTCCATATTTCTCCTCTCTCTGTGTCTCCCCCAGGGCATTCCACACACTCCTCCCTCCCCCTTACCCACACACACTGGGAATTGAACCCTGGCCCCCACTCCTGTGCTCTACCACTTGAGTCACATCCTCAGCCCTTTTGTTTTTATTGTATTTTATTTGTTTTCATTTTTGAGATAGGGTCTGGCTAACTTTGCCCTGGCTAGGTTTGAACTCTCTATCCTCCTGCCTCCACCTCTGGTGTAGCTGTGATTATAGGCATTCAGTAGTATGCCTAGCCCCAGATCACTTTTTGGGGGAAGAGGGGAATATCCTAAATGGGGCCTCCTATCTAGAAACTTGGAGAAGAGGAAAGATTTTTAAAAAGGGATTATTGCTGGGAGTGGCGGTACACTCTTGTAATCCCAGCACTACAGAAGCTGAGGCCAGAAGATCCTGAGTTTTAGGCCTGTCTGGGCTACATAGCAAGACTGTCAAAAAAAAAAAGGGTCAGGCACCTGTGAGTCACACCTGTAATCCTAGCTTCTCAGGAGGCAGAAATCAGTACAATAGCAATTTGAAGCCAGATGGGAAAAGAGTTTGTGAAACCCTATCTCAAAAACACCCATCACATAAAAGGGCTGGTGCAATGGCTCAAGGTGTAGGCCCTGAGTTCAAATCCCAGTACCACAAACACCCAACACAAAAAACAACTGGCAGAATGGTTCAAGTGGTAGAGCACCTGCCTAGTAAGCATAAGGTCTTGAGTTCAAACCAGTACTGCCAAAAAGAAAAAGAAAAAAAAAGAAATGTAAAGAATTTCAATGGTAGAATGCCTAGCATTCATGAGGCCCTGGGTTCAATCACCAGTTCCACTACAATGATAATAATAATTCACAGGAAATGTGAGGAGCCAGACCTGGAAGTGGCATTTGTCTGCTTATGTTTCATTGCTCACAATACAATCTCATAATACCATCTAACTACTGTAGAGTAGACTATGGAATGTAATCTGGCTGTCCAACAGCAAAAGGAAATGGATCTGCAATATAGCACTGTCTCTGCCATGTGCCCCTACTGAGAAATCTAATGACCATTTTCTATCATCTTATTGAACATTTCAATTATGTTTGATCCTTTATTCCATCACTCCCACGTGGGAGGCTATTCATTCTAGTTCCTTTATGTTTTGTTTATATAACTAACACCTATAATGATCATTATGTGCCAGACACTAATTGCTTTAAAAATAAACTGTTTTTTTAAAAAAATTTTTAATAAAAAATAATTAACTGTTTTAAGCTTCACTACAATGAAGACTATAATGTACTTTAATTGATTCCATTTTACAGATAAGAAAACTGAAGTCACTGAGAGTTTAATTTGTTGAAGATCACACAGCTTGTAGATGGCAAGAGTCAAGCTTTGAACCTAGGAATCTAGGCAGTCCAACTCCAGAGTTTCTTTCTTCTATTTTTGCATGCATGGGTGTATTTTCTTGATGTGCAGGATTGAACTAGGGCCTTTGCATGGTAGGCAAGTGCAGTACTCACCTCTGAGTTACACTCAAGCCTGTAGCTTATTTTTTTTTTTTCCTTTCTTTTTTTACAGTACTGGGGCTTGAACTCAGGGCCTACACCTTGACCCACTCCAGCCCTTTTTTGTGAAAGTCTTTTCCAGATAGGGTCTCATAGAACTATTTGCCTGGGCTGGCTTCCAAGAGATCCTCCCAATCTCTGCCTCCTGAGTAGCTAGGATTACAGTGTGAGCCACTGGCTCCCAGCTTGGAGTTTATTAATAACCTCTCTATGCTGCCGCCTTTTTCTCTTTCGCTTCTCTTCTGTTGCTTATCCTTCAGCATGTGCCACTATGCCCTGTTCCATTTTTAGGTCTTTCTTGTGTGTGTGGTGGGGTTTTTTTGTTTTGTTTTTGTTTTTCTGGCAGTCCTGGGGTTTGAACTCAGGACTCACTCTTGTTAGGCAGGAGGTCTACCACTTGAACCATTCTGCCAGCCCTTTTTGGTGTTGGGTATTTTTGTGATAGGTTTCACAAACTTATTTGCCTGGGCTGGCCTCAAACCAGGATCCTCCTGATCACTGCCTCTTGAGTAGCTAGGATCACAGGTGTGAGCCACCAGTACCAGGCTATGAGGTTTAAATTATCACTTTTTTTCTTCTTTTTTTTTTTTTTTTTTTTTGCAGTTTGAACCTCAGGGCTTTGCACTTGCAAAACAGGTACTCTTCAGCTTGAGCCACAGCTCCAGTCCATTTTGCTCCATTTATTTTGGAGATGGGGGTTTCATGATCCTCTTGATCTCAGCTTCCCAAATAGGTAGGATTACAGGCTTGAGCCACTAGCACCTAGCAATTACCACATTTTTAAATGGGATCTCCAGTGAGATCTAGAAACTGGGATGAGACCATACTTGAGATTGGAGCCCTACCTCCAGTGGTCACACAGAACTTGGTCATACAAGTGATAAAATATCTGTTGCTTCAATGAATGACAATTCCTAATCCTCTGTCTCCAAACTGGATTGAGCTCCAAATCTGAATACTTAATTTAGCTAGTAAGGGGAAAGGGTGGGGAAAAGATGGGGAAAAAGTATTCCAGGAAGAAGAGAGCAAACCCTGCCAACTCTATCTCTAGAGTCCTCAAACTCATTTTATTTTTCCACCTCCACTGACATATCTTCACTCTTACCTGGACCCTAGTCATGGTCTTCATTTTGTCCCTCTCCTCCCCCTCCACTGTGTAGCCCTGTGCCAATATGTGGCAAAATCTAATTCCATGGTTCCACTGTGGATAACCCTCCCATTGCTTCACAAAGCCCTCTTCTCACATTTTGTGCTTCAGAACAAAGAATGAATTGTAAATCCCTAAAGACTCCTCTTTGCCTTTACTCTTGGAATGGGTCTCGTTGGCTGGAATGTCTTTTTTCTTAAAGAAACTACTCTGGTCTCATCCCCCTGGAAAACCTTCCCTAAACGCTTTCAGGTTGCACTACCTCCTCCCTGCTTCTGCGCTAGCAAAGGCGGAGCCTAATAATCACAGAAGTGTCCCAGAAGGTTTTACTTCTAGGCTCACCAACTTTACCAGTCAGTGGAGCCCAGACCGACCGGTCGATTCTGTCTCCCTGGCGGTCCAAAGCCATCCCCTCGGTGCTGGAGAGAAACTCTGCGCGAGAATCCCTACAACACCAGCCGCTAGGGCGGCTTGGCCCCGCCCCCTCACCTCACGTGCGAGGCGCCGCCCCACCCCCTAAACTCCCTACCACGAAATGGTTCAACCGATGGGGGCGGTGCTAAGGTGCTTAAACCATTCTGATTGGCCAGGGAGAGCCGTACCACGATGTTGGCGGGGGAGCAAGTCGAGGGTAGCCAGCGGCGGGTTCAGAGCGTGTGAGTGCGCCGCCTCTGACCTAGACGCCTACGCTGCGCTGCGCCAGGCCTCCTGTCGGGATGCAGTGGACAGTGGGTCGGCGGTGGGCGTGGGTCGCGCTGCTCCTGGCTGCCGCAGCGGTGCTGACCCAGGTCGTTTGGCTCTGGCTGGGTACGCAGAGCTTCGTCTTCCAGCGCGAAGAGATCGCGCAGCTCGCGCGGCAGTACGCTGGTGAGCGGGCTGAGGGCGGGCAGTGGGGCGGGCTGGCCCCGGAGCCTGGCCGCGGTTTCTGAGGGCGCCGGACCGGGATTGGTTCTGATTCCGCCGTTCCTCTGTTTCCATCAGGGCTGGACCATGAGCTGGCCTTCTCTCGGCTGATCGTGGAGCTGCGGCGGCTGCACCCAGGCCACGTGCTGCCCGATGAGGAACTGCAGTGGGTGTTTGTGAACGCGGGTGGCTGGATGGGCGCCATGTGCCTTCTGCACGCCTCCCTGTCTGAGTACGTGCTGCTATTCGGCACCGCCCTGGGCTCCAGCGGCCACTCGGGTCAGTGCTAGCGGCGGGCCAGACGGGGAGGCTGGGGCTGTTCAAGGGCCCATGCTCTTCTATCTGATGCTTAGCTGGGTCATGTGATGATGAGGATACCTTGATAGTTGGTGTCCATCTGATTGTCACTCAGGGCGCTATTGGGCTGAGATTTCTGACACCATCATCTCTGGCACCTTCCACCAGTGGAGAGAGGGCACTACCAAAAGTGAGGTCTTCTATCCAGGTAAGTAAGGAGGCTCTGTCACAGAAGTGGGGCCCTACAGTTGGGGAAGGGAGCAGGACTTGGAAAGGGAGTGAGTATTAAGAGCCCTTCCTTCCTCCCCACCCTTATAAGCCACAGGTGACTGGTTGGGGCAGAGCTGAGAGACCCTGTTGCCTTCCTCTTTTAAAGGGAAACAGAACACTTCCTGTTGGATTTTTATTTGCCTGGATACTTTTACCCAGACAATATTCCAGCAATTGTTGGGAAGACAGCTGGTAATCAGAAATGCACTCATTCCCAAAAGTTGAGAGACATTTGTCTTTCACCTGTTCCCTTCTCTTTTAAAATAGTGAACAGTTTACATTTTTTTTAAAGTGGATAAGAAAAAAATGGAGGTTTGGACTTCAGATTCAGTTTGAGGTTGAGTGTAAGTAAGCACACGGATTGGACAGATACATTCCTCAGCCTCATAACTCTTAGAACCATCCCTTTTACCTCACCAGCCCAGCCTGTTTAGTTATATTTCCTTTAGACATGAGTGAGGTTTGAGAATACAGACGTCCATACAATGGCCAGGTGGGGTAGCCCTCCAAGCTTCCCCCGAGAGGGGACATGGGCAGGTGATGGCACAAAATATTTAGAAGTGGCCATCTGGGTCTCTTACTCCTCCAGGTAATAGGCCAGGCTAGTGAGGTAGGGCTTTTTCTTTTCCTGAAGCTGTCTCTTCATTCCCCATCCCGGGATATCATGGGCCAGGGAAACACAACAATGAAGTACAGGACAGAGCTGGTCCCCTCACATGGGTGCTCCCTGTCCCCAGGGGAGACAGTTGTGCACGGGCCTGGCGAGGCAACGGCTGTGAAGTGGGGGCCAAACACATGGATGGTGGAGTACGGCCGAGGTGTCATCCCATCTACCCTGGCATTCGCACTGGCTGACACTGTCTTCAGCACCCAGGACTTCCTCACCCTCTTCTATACCCTTCGCTCCTATGCCCGGGGCCTCCGGCTTGAGCTCACCACCTACCTCTTTGGCCAAGACCCCTGACCAGCTAGGCCTGAAGGAAGACCTGTGGATGGACAGAAATGGGCAGGCCCGCACATGTCCACTTGCTGGAGCCCATGTGCACAGACAGGGACATATACACCATGGAGATAATTGAGTTCTTGCTGTATGAGGAGGGACATACATGCTTATACATCCAGAACCTCTTGGGAACAAATGGAACATAAAATATATAGATGTCAAGACTTGTGTGAACTGCAAGGATCATGCACTCACATCCATCCAGAGAAGGAGCCCCACATTATACCAAGAGGGCCAGTCATGTTTGAACACACATATCACAAGCTTTACTCACTAACTCAGGCCTTCCCAGAGTTTACTGCCGGCATCCAGGGCTCTGGAGTTAAGGATGAGGGTGGGTATTACATACTGCCTCGGTCTGACTCCTCAACCCAGCAGTAAGCTTAGGGGATAAGGGAGAAGAGGGGCTTCCTTTCAGAAGCCTCCTTTACTTGAAGCTATGATACCCTTCCTCTTCATCTCCCTGTCCTCACCATATGCCTTATCCCCATTCTACTCCCCTGCTATGCAAGTGCCCCCTGTGGCTTTCCCCCTACCTCCTCAGCAACCAATTCAGCTGGGGAACCAGAGGATTGTAGAGAATGATGAAGTGAAGGTCCTCCATCTCTGAAAGACCCTGTTCCTTCCTTGTTGGTATGATGGGAAACCTGGCCTCACTCAGTTCAGGACCCACCACCAAGGAGAGAAACTGAAGAGGTGGGCCTGGGGTCCAAGAGGCCATCCCTGGCCTAGAGAAGATTTTTTTCTGCACGTGTGCACACACCCCCATCACAGCTTCCACACACTGCCCTGCTGCATTCTCTGTTCATCTGTCTTGTCTCTGATAATAAAAACTTGTCAAATAGTTTCTTTTGTTTGTGTGTCTGAGCAGCAGGAAAAGCTGCTACCTCCTGGGGGACTTCAAGAAGGCATCTTGCTGTGTGATCCAGTTTATAAGACACTTTGGACTGTGTTCAGGACTATATACTTAAGTGTACCTAAGAATTACCTAGGAGGCCCCTTGAATCTAGAGGTTACTGGGCTCCATCCTTGGAGAGAAGTTTTTCTGGGTTAAAGCCTTGAGATCAGCATACGCAGTAAGATTTCCCCAAAACTGTGAATTCTGCAGTCCTGAGTGAGGTTTTGGGTTTACTCTGCCAGTGCAATTCTGGGGACGGTCATGAGAATCCAGCCCTGGGTGGCCACAGGATGGCAGTGTGCTCCTGCTTTTAAGCTGAAAGAAGCATCACTGTTCTCAGTTTTTCTCTGGGCTCAAGATTATGAGATATACCCCCACCCAGAACAAGAATTCCTCTACTTTATGGTCTGCCTTTTGATCTAGCACTTTTGTGGGGGTTCTGGGGTGGAAATCAAATACTCTACCTGGTATGTGAAGTAGGTAGAGGTAAGAGAGACCTGAAGTGTCCTCCATCCCAAGGATCCTGCCCTTGCCTTAGATTTTGCACCTTAGGCGTAAAGCTTGCCTCACCTTCATTCTAACCTTACTCTCAGGTTGAGTAAGATCAAGACCACTACCACTTCTTGGGACTCTTAGTGTATTAAAAATGAAAGAAACAAGGTTATAAATTACGTTTTTAAAAACAAATACAAAAGACTACATATATAACCTCTTGAAAACATTGGGGTTGGGCATGGTGTCACAGGCCTGTAATCCCAGCAATTCAGGAGGTAAAGATCAAGATTGAGGTTCAAAGTCAGACCTGGGCAAAAACTTGAGACCCTATCCTAAAACTGAAAGGGCTGTGGGGAATAGCACCGCTGAAGTGAGATGTTGAGGAAATAAGAATTGGCAAAGGGGCTGGTGGTGTAGCTCAAGCAGTAGAGTACCTGCCTAGCAAGTGTAAGGCCCTGAGTTCAAAACTTAGTACTGCTAAAAATGTGTGTGTGTTTCTAAATGTGTGACTCTGAGTGAAGTCCAGGCAAATTGGCCATCTTGACCCACCATGTTGGCCTTGGCTGGGTCCTCTCAATCAAGGCTTACAAAATCATGCCTTCTTTGAGGACTTCCCTCTTATAACCCAACTCTGCTTCTAGGCTCAGATCACATATTTGTCAGGGATGCCCAAGTGTCCCTGTCATCTCACAAGCAACGAAGCTCCTGAGTATCTCTCCATCTCTGTTGCTAGGTTCAGTGGTCATTTCCTACTTCTTGTCTTATTTTTTCCTTTTGTTGATACTGAGAATAGAGCCCAAGAAAGGCTTTGTGCATGCCAAGGACACACTACCACTGAGCTATGACTCCAACCATCAACTTTTCTGACACAGGTAATCACTCCTAAAACACTTTCAGCTTCTAGGACACTTTTTTTTCCTTGCCTCCTTTGCCAATTCTTGATTTTTTTTTTTCTTTTTGGTGGTACTGGGGTTTGAACTCAGGGCCTTGCACTTGCTAGGCAGGTACTCTACTACTTGAGCTACACCTCCAGCCCCTTTACCAATTTGTATCTCCTTACCTCTGACTTCCTACAACCTAGTCCTAAAACTCTTTCAGTTTATACACCCTCCCAAGTGATCGCAACTCTTTCGTGACTTTAAATAACATCTACATGTCTTGATTCCTAAATCTTCACCTCAGCTTAAATCTCTTCCCTGAGTTCCAGCTTTGGATATCTTACTGCCTCCATCTGCACTCGACATTTCCACTTTGTTGCTTAATAGGTGTCTCAAACTTAAAATGTCAAAAGCAAAACCAATTTCTCTCCCAATCCTGTATTCACTCATCACCCCCCACAGTCTTTTCTATCTTAAGGTTGACTCCATTTGTCCAGCTGCCTAGATCAAACACCTTGGAGTCTTCTTGAACTTCAATCTCATTCTCTTATATCCCACATTCAATCCAACCGCAAATCCTTAGTTTTATCTGTAAAATATATCCAGGCTTGAGCCAGGCATGGTGGTCCATGCCTATAATTCCAGCACTTGGAAAGTAGAGGCAAGAGGTGTAGCTCAAGTGGCAGAGTATTTGCCTAGCAAGGGTAAGGTAAATTCTAACCCCAGTACCACCACCACAAAAAAAAAATTCAAAACAAATCATTTGTCACTTCAAGTGCTATCACTCTGGTCCAAGACAACAACATTCGTTGGTTGGACTACTGTGATGGCCACCTAAATAGTTGATCCTCATGCTTGCTTCATCTGGAGGCTTCACACAACAGCAGGAGGCAGACTTTTCACTGCTGAGACATTTCCAGTGGCATCCCATCTTGTTTGGTCCTTTGACTCCTTCCACAGGTCTACTCCAAGGCCTATGGTACTCTGATCAAACATCCAACCATTCAGCTTCTTAGCTACCCTATTCCAGTCTACTGACTTCATCACTTCTCTTCCATCACATCAAGCACCCTTCTAACCTCAGGATATTTGCACTGATTATTCTATCTTCAAAGCTCTTTTCTAGGTATCCAAACAGTTGTCCTCTTCCCCTCTTTCAGTTCCTGCTTGGTGAGTCCTTCCTTTAACACATTACAGCATTCCTTCTGTGATGATTTTCAAATATACAATTGTATGTGCGTGTGTGCGCACATAAGTAGGCAAGTACTCTACCACTTAATTGCATCTCCAGCTCCTTTCCCCAAATATTTGATACTTTCCCCTCCAAGAGGTGAAGCCTAATTCTCTTTCCCTTAAATGTGTGTTTGACTTAGTTATATACTTTAACACATAATATATTGCAGAAGTGCCAGTGTGTGACTTTTAGGACTACACCATAGAAAGTATTGCTGCCTATTTAGTCTCTCTTAGATCACTGAGGGGTGCGGGGGGCAGGGGTAGAACAACAGCTTTGTTAGGAGGATATACAAGTAATCCTGTGTAGACGCCCTTCATAGAAACAGGTCTCCTGCAGACAGCCATGTGAGTTTGCCACCTTAGAAGTGGCTCCTCTGGCCCCAGACACTGGGGTTCGAAATCAGGGCTTTGTGTTTACGAGGCAGGTGCTCTGAAGCTTGAGCCATATCTCCTGCCCCAATTAAGCCACTCTTGTATCCCTGACCCACAGAAAGGTGAGAAAATAAGTGTATGTTGTTTTAAACTTCTAAGTTTTAGGGGTAATTTGCTACACAGCAATAGATAACCAATAGGCTCACCTCTTTCCATTCCCCCAACAAACCACATTTTTCTCCATGGTTCATATCACCAGCTGACATATGTATATATATATATATTTCCCCCACTAGAATTATACCATTATAACAGAGACTTTGTTATATTTATGCCTGCATACAACAGTACCTGTGATAAAGTAGGTACTCAACAAATATGTGTTGGATGAATCAAGCATTAGTTTCTGGAGGTTTAGGTTAGTTTGTCTCATCTTTGTCTCTGTGAAGTCTAGGACTAGGCTATATGTGGGTGTGGGAAGTAGCCTTTCCTTTTCACAGATGGAGAGAGATAAACCAGGTCCCAGTCAGGTGTATTCCTTCCCTTTAGCCCTTCCCAGTTATAGACCTCCTAGCCCAGACATCAAAGCCGGATTTACTTTTCTTGATTCTTTTTCTTTTTTGGGTGGGAGGGGTAGCTGCCCAGCCTCATGCTCCTCTCCTCCCCCAACCCAAGCCCTACAAAAAGTAATCTCCAGCCAGTTGCTGGGGGCTGAAGCCTATATTCCTAGCTACTTGGGAAGCTGAAATTGTGAGAATCGAGGTTCAAGGCCAGCCCTGGCAAATAAGAGACCCTATCTCCAAAATTACCACAGCAAAATGAACTGGAAGTGCGGCTCAAGCAATAGAACACCTGTCTTGCAAGTGTGAAACCCTAAGTTCAAACCCCAGTTGCACAAAAAGAAAAAAGAAAAAAAAAAAGGAAGCAATCTCCAGATCCTGAGAATCTAGAATTTCCCCAAAGTCAGTTTCTACCTTTGCAGAAGGAATCCAACCATCTTTCTCCAGCTACCTCCTCTGAGCAGCTGAGGGAGAGGTGGGCAAGCTAGACACCAGAGTTTTGCAAATCTCCACCCTTTCCCTTCCAAATCATCCATGAAACCCCCAGGACATGACTGTCTGCCTCTTTGCATTCATTAATTTGCCATTCTGTGTACCCAACATGGTGGTGGGGGCAGGGAGAAGAGGGGGCTTGCTCTGCCAGAGAACTCACATCCTCCAACAGCCATGTAGGAGGGCATCAGTATTAAGGGGTGGCTCACTGGTACAGGGTGGAGCAGGGGATTCTGGCTGACTGTGAGATCTGATGTCTGAGGTGAAAGCCTCTAAGGCTAGTCAGAGTGGGACTGAGTTTCAGCATGGCCAGGGATGGCCATAGAGAACAAGGACTTAGTTCTACAGTGGGAAGTTCTGGGCTGTGAAATAGAGTGGAGGATGGAGGCAGGGAAGGCAGAAGTATGGCACCCAACAGGGGATTCTGGTGAGAAGAGCTGATGGTCTGGGCCATGCAAGCTGAGGTTGAGAAGAGCCAGCTGACTGGGAGAGGGAGAGGAAGGAGACATAGGTCAGGCTCCATTCCTGCCCTCTAGAGGAATGATGACCCTGGGACATATCTGCCTCAATGGGTGTGAGGCCTAAGAATGGTCCTTTGTGCTAAAAGATTTGGCATAGTTTCATACCCATACCCCTATACACCTGCTATTCACTAACATTAGGGTGGTCCTCATGCCTGTGGTAGGTAGGTTCCCTTGGACACGGAAAGAAATTGGGGATGTATGCAGTTGCCTGAGAAGAATAGGGTCCAGGTTGCTCAGAGGAGAAATTGTGGCCTGCCACTCAGGACTCAAGAAAGAGAAACAGCATCTGGTGGACAGTGGGGCTAAGGTAGGCCCAAAGCAATTGGTCAGGAGTAGGGGCTGGGGGGCATCTGCAGAGAGAGATTTGGAAGTCAGGGACACATGGATGGGAAACGTGTGTAAAGACGGACACAATGCTGAACCTGAGGTTCGTTATACTCTTCACTCTTTTCTCCTTATGTGTTTGGTAATACCCATAAGAGAATGTCAAAAGATATTTTATTTTATTTTTTGGAGGTACTAGGGCCTGGACTGAGGGTCTCATGCAGGCTCTCTACCATTTGAGCCACTTCTCCAACCTTCCCAGCCCTCTTTTGCTTTAGTTATTTTTCAGGTAGAGTATAGTGTTTTTGACAGGGGAAGGCATCAGACAGCAATCTTCCTACCTACAGCCTTCCTGGTAGCTAGGATCACAGGTGCTAGCCACCACACTCAGCTTATTGGTTGAGATGGGGTCTTGATAACTACCCCTCCCCCCTCCACACACACACCCCAGTTGGCCTGGAATCTATTCTCCTGATCTGTGCCTCAGAGTAGCTGGGATACAGGGAAGAGCCACCACACCAGGCTTTAAACGAGATAAAAAAAAAAAAGACGAAATTGTATGGGACTGTGTATCTGCATGTGGTGTGTATACACTGCTTCAGGTGTTCGTCAGCTTATAGACCTCTGGGTGTGGGTGTGGGTCCACTACCATGTGCATGCCTGTACACAAACTGCAGTACACTTGCAGTTGAGGACTGCATACAGGCAGGGAAGGAGAAGCTTCTGTTATGCTCCACACTCACCCTAGCATCCTAAAGAATGATTCCCCTGGAGATTGTGATCAGAACCTGCCCAGGCCCTTGGCCCTCTAGTGAGTGCTAGTAGCCCTGTAAACAGAGTGACATTAGGGAGTTGTGTGCCTGAACTTGTGATAAGGTGTGTTGGTGTGTGAACGCGGCTATTTGTGTATGACTGGCCGGCACTCAGTGTGGATGTGGGGGGCATGACTTGTGACTCTGGGCGGGGCCCCGATCCAGAGTCCAGTGGAGGTAGACTCCTCTTTCTCCCTCACATGATTCCCCATAGCTCTCCAGCGCCCCCTCCCCCCGAAGTCTGGCTGTAAGGAAGGTGGGAGACACCTGTTGGGGGCTGAGAGAGGCAGAGCTCACAGGGGCTCTCCCCTTGCGCCCCCGCCCGCCCTGCCCAGCTCGGGTCCCGCCCCCCGCGATCGCAGCCAGCAGAGCTGCTGCGAGTGAGCGCACCGCGGCCAGAGGGGCGCAAGGCGGCCGGAGCGCACGGAGGGGACCCTACACAGGGAACCGAACCTAGGAAGGGGCCGCCCGGGACGCGGGCGAAGCAGAGGGGCCGCCGTGGAGACACCCGGGGCAGCGGGCCGCGCCAGGCAGGTGAGTGCGGCTGCGGGGCACCGGGAGCCAGAGAACCGGGCGCAGCGACCCTGCTGCCTCCTGACCGTCCGGTCGCGTCTCTGTCCCATCTCTGCTCCACCGCCCTCGATTCCCGTACCTCTGCCTCTCTGACCCGTCTCTCCGTCGGTTTTTCCCTGTCTATGTCTCTGACTGTGCCGCTGTGTTTTCTGTCTCGCCTTTTCTCTTTCTAATTTCTCTCCTGCTGCGTCGGTCTTTCTCAGTCTCTCTCAACTCGTGTCACTATTTATCTCTCCCCACCTCTGTCTCTGTCTCTCTTTCTGGTCTTTTATCTCTTGCTCCTCTCTCCTACCTTCCCTGTCTCTCTACCCAATATCTCTATCAAGCTCATCTTTCCCTGTCTGTCTCTACCCTTGCCTCTGCCTGGTATCTCTGACTCTCCTTCTTTCTCCATCTTCCTTGAGACAGTCTCTTCCTTGTCCCATCTGCATCTCTATTTCCATAAATCTGCTATTGTCTCTGTGTCGCATCTCTCTTGCTCTCCTCCTTTGGTCCCTGTCACCCTGATTTGCTCAGCCTCTCTCTGTCCTCAGTCAATGGCCGTCTCTGACACCCTGAGTCTGATCGCTCTCTCCTGCTCTTTCTACATCTCTGTGTATGGTCATCTATGGGAAAGCTATCTTTTCACCCTTTCCTTATGACCCCTGCATGCCCCTGAATCCATGACCATGTCCCCTTGTCTTGGGGTGTATGGGAACAGCAAGGCCCAGAACCCATAATTCCCTCCCCCACAGACGGCCCTTTCCTCAGGGCCCCGCCTGGTACCAGGGCCCCCCCCAGCAGGGGGACTGCGCCTGGAAGCTGTAATGGAGGCCCTGCAGAGGCAGCAAGCAGCTCGCCTGGCCCAAGGGGTGGGGCCATTGGCCCCTCCTTGCCTACCACTGCCACAGCCTCCCCTGCCTGGACCCCGGGCCCTGCAGGCTCCTGAGGGAGCCTTGGGGAAGGTTGGGGTTGAAGAAGAGGAGGATGCTGAAGAGGATGAGGAAGGGGAGGAAGCCAGAGCACAGGAGGAAGCAGCCGAGGAGAGCCAAACAGGGGCCCAGGGCCCCAGCTCACCTTCCAGCCAGCCCTCTGGACCCCATCCTCATGAGTGGACCTATGAGGAACAGTTCAAGCAGGTAGGACTCTCCGCACTTTCAGGTCCCCCCACCCCCACCTTTTTCCTCCTGTGCAAAAGAGACCTAAGTGGTCAGTAGTCCATCCACCATCCCTCTGTCGGAAAGACAGACTCAGAGACCTAGAGAGAGAGTGGGAAGACTAGAGGATAGATATAGGGAAGGAGAGACAGATTCCCAGATATGTGGAGAGTGCATAGAAATGCTCTAAGAGGTATAGAAGATGCCCAGAAACATTAGGACTGACGGGATGAAAGCTGTTGGTGAGTCTGGAAGGAAGGTGGGAGGCATACAGATGCCTTTGAGGGAGGGTAATCTGCAGTATGGGGACTCCAGTGCCAGCTTCACCCCACCTATCCTCTCACACATCAAGGCACAAAGACCAATGGGGGTGTCCCAAGCTGTTTACTTCTGTCTTTGGGAGTAGAATAGGGATCGTTATTCTCTTGCAGGCTGGTACACCGCTCTTCTTTCCTTTCACACTGCTCTACCATCCAAATTTTCTCCCTGGCCTAGGTTCCATAGGTGACAGTTCCCATCTTGTGTTGGCCACTAAGCTGCAGTGTAACTGAAGAGCCCCTATACAACTGGGAATGACAAGACCTTACTCACATGGCCTTAATTCAAGGTTCTTCCCCTTTGTGTAAACCTCATGGGTGTTATTCTAAGGATACTAGTCCAGGCTGTCACAGTGAAGGTGTTCCATGAGTCCAGGTGTGCTATTCTGGCAGTGTTATTCATAGGATGTTGATCTTGGGTATTTTCCAGAATTATTAATTTATGGCTAGTGCTTTGTGCCATTAATGTAAGACTGGGAGTTACTCAAGCCCCTGTTACTCTGGAGTTACAACTCTAGTGACTATTTCTCCTGGGCATAATTCTGGACTTATCACTAGGAGAGTATAGGCATTATTTGTAGATATCCGTCTAAGATTTAGGGCTCTGTGTTATGGGTATGTGGCTCTAAAGCTGGATCTCTGGGGTTTGCTACTCATGGTGGTTCTTTTTTTTGGAGGGGTACAGTACTGGGGTTTGAATTCAGGGTCTCACACTTACTAGGAAGGTGTCTACTGCTTGAGGCACACCCCCAGCCCTTTTTTGTGTTGGGTATTTTCGAGATTGGGTCTTGTGAATTATTTGCCTGGGTTGGCCTCAAACCTCGACCTTCTTGATCTCTGCTTACCCAGTAGCTAGGATTACAGGTGTGAGTCACCAGTGCCTGGCTACTCTGAGAGTTCTTACTGGGGAATGGAGTGTTACCTCTAGGTTTTACTTGGGGACTGTTATTCTGGGTCAATGACTCCATTACTCTGGGGATTGTTTGTCTTAGATTTAGAAGGTGATACCGGAGGTGATTGGGAAGTGGTGGGGTGACTGGTAGGTCTTATGCCCTAGTCCTTCAGGTCATGGGTGGCACGTAGCCAGTGCCTCTGTAGTGGTAGGGGTAACTGCCTCTGGAAGGAGATCAGACCAGAAAGTATCAATCAATGCTCCTGAGTATCCTTCCTTACCCTAATCCTGGCACACAGGAATGTGAATTGCATGAAGCCCTTACAGGAAGTGAATAAGTGCCTTAGATATACATGTCAGTCTTCTCAGTATGTAGTACAGCCCCAGCCTGGCTTCTTCCTGTGGCTCTGAATGTCCCCTCAGGGTGGGCAAGACTCTATACTAGAGAGTGGGCTGAATAGTCCTAGCTCCTCCCTGCTTCCTCTCTTGCCATATTTACCAGTTGCATGTTTTGAGCTACCCAGGGCACCACTAGCCAGGCTGGGTCTCTGAGCGTATTAGAAAAAGTCACTCCTATGCCGGGTGCTGGTAGCTCATGTCTGTAATCCTAGTTACTCAGGAGGCAGAGATCAGAAGGATTACAGTTTAAAGCCAGTCCTGGCAAATAGTTTGCAAGGTCCTATCTCGGAAAAAAAAAAAAATCACATAAAAGGGTTGGCAAGGTGGCTCAAGGTGTATGCCCTGAGTTCAAACCCCCATACTACAAAAAAAAGAAAAAAAAAGAAAAAGAAAAAGTCACCCCTATCTGCTCTTGGGTCCAGGCCTAATGTCAGGGAGTCTGTGTTCAGACCTTACTAACCTCTTCAGCTAAGGACTCTTGTTCAGGGTAAAACCTGAATTGGAGTCCCAGGGAGAGGGAGGCCAGTGGTCAGTGGAGCTGGGGAATGACCCTTGTTCTTCCCCAGCTATATGAGCTCGATGCAGACCCCAAGAGGAAGGAATTTCTGGATGACCTGTTTAGCTTCATGCAGAAGAGGGGTGAGTGAGGTGATGCGGAGAAGGAGCCTGGAATTGCCCCCACATACCAGGTTTGAGGAAGGGAGACCCCAAGTATAGTCCTCAGGTGGGGGTCCTCCCTGCAGAGGCTTGAGGTTGGCAGCACCTGTCCTTTGGGCCCTCAATAGTGTCTTTAACCTCTGACCCTGCCCCCCCTTCTCCACCCCGGGATTAATTAGTGGCCAACCCACTGGCAGGTTAATGAGTGTGGGATCAATTGGGAGGGTGAGAGAGGGGAACTGGTGGGGGGCTAGCTAGCTTGGGGTAGAAGCGTCCCAGGACTGGAGGGCTGGAAATGCCTTGGTTGTCTATGGTGGGCTCTTCCTCCAACCTTCTCTCTCTTCAGTTTCCCCTTGCTTTAGGCCAGGGGGCTCCCATGCACCCTGTAGCAGGAAGGATTGGGATTAGATTGAAGGAAGGACTTCACAAGGGATGGGCTGGGGGCCATGTGAGTGGGGCAATGGAGAAGGAATTCCTTTCCAGGAATCTCAGTGCTGGAAGAATGCAAGTAGGGTCCAGGAGGGGATCAGGGTGGGCTGCAGTCCATCACTTCTGCCTCTCCCCAGATTCATGGGACTGAATACTGACTCATTATCTCTCTCTACAAAGCTAATTAACTCACTCAGAGTGCAGCCTGATAAGCTGCTAATTAACTGGCTGCACTGCCTGCCCCCCCACCTCCCCGCCTTAGTGCAGCTTCTGGCCCAAGTCCTGGGCCCCAACCCAGGCCCAGCATCCCTTTCTGGTCTCTTCCTTCCCAGAGACCCTTGGTGGGATCCCAGGTTCTCTTGCTCCCCAGGGAGCCCTGGTCATTCTGGTCCCAGTGTCCCCTCTCTGTCCCTTCCTCAGGGAATGGAAGGCATTCTAAGAGGATCCCAGCACTGCCCACATCCCCATCTCAACCTTCCTTCAGTCCCTGCCTCCCTCTGCTGTGCTGAGGGGGAGGGGGGTCCCATAGGGCCGATAATTTCCCCCCATTAATCAGGCCACAGCTAATTGTTCGGGTCCAAAGGCGGCGGTGGAAGGGGACGGGATCGGTAAGGAATTAACTGGGGCCCATCGCTCAGTGCAGACAGGCCCCTTTGTCAGGACTGGCTGGCGGGGTGGCGCAGGCTGTGCAGTTGGCTAGGCCCAGGCTGGAGCTGATTCTTCTCTGCCGACATCCCCTGGCCTCAGGCAGCCATTGGGGGCTGCTGCTTAGGAGAGTCCAGCTCTTCAGCACTATTTGCAAGTCCTTCCTAAAGTCTACCCCAGGAGTCAGCAAACTAAAGCTTTCAGGGTAAATCCAGTGACTGCTAGATAAGAATAGTTTTTACATTTTTACACATTTGGAAAAATAGAATTAAAAGTGGAATAGCATTGCATTTCCAGACTGTGAAACTGGAATTTTAGAGCTTGTAAATAAAGTTTTATTGGAACATAGCCATGTCCATTCCCTCAAGTATCCTCTAAGGCTTCTTAGGCTGCAATTGCAAACTGGGTAGTCGGGACAGACATCACTTGGCCCACAAAACCTAAATATTTACCATCTGGCCCTTTACAGGATAAGTTTGCTGACCTCTGATCTTAGTTTCCTGTCCTTCCTGCTATGATAGAGGCCCTAGGGATTCTGGAGGCTCTTCCTGTAATCCCACCTCCTCATCTCCCCTATCTTTCCTTCCCTCCTCAGGGACCCTGCCCTGTACCCAAGCCTTGTGCAAACATCCAACTGTTTCAGTCCCCAGGGATGACAGCAGACAGGGCCTAGTGTTAGTGTCCTGACTCTCTACCTATTCCACACCAGGGACACCTGTGAACCGCGTGCCCATCATGGCGAAGCAGGTGCTGGACCTGTATGCATTGTTTCGCCTGGTGACGGCCAAGGGCGGCCTGGTGGAGGTCATCAACCGAAAAGTGTGGCGAGAGGTCACACGCGGCCTCAGTTTGCCCACCACGATCACCTCGGCCGCCTTCACTCTTCGCACCCAGTGAGGCCAGGGGCTCTGGCAGAACCGAAGGGCACGCGGAACAGGGGTTGGGGCACGGGCGAGAAGGGCGGGGCGGGGGAGGAGTGTGGGACATGATCAGCCAGGCCCAGCCTACCTCGTCTCCCGTCCATCCCTAGGTACATGAAGTACCTGTATCCGTACGAGTGCGAGACAAGGGCGCTCAGCTCCCCAGGGGAGCTCCAGGCCGCCATAGACAGCAATCGGCGCGAGGGCCGTCGCCAAGCTTACACCACTGTCCCGCTCTTCGGCGGCGTAGCGGGCCCAACCCCTCCTCGGGGCGCTCCAGGTCCTGGCCCCATCCCGCCCGCGCCCACACCTGCGCCCGCGCCGGGTCCGGTCCCCGCCTCTGGATTGCCGGCTCACGCGTGCGCCCAGCTGAGCCCAAGCCCAATTAAGAAAGGTGCGAGGGAAAACCGGCAGAAGTTTGGCGGGGATGGGGGAAGAGTGTCTCTGAGATCTATGCACTGAGATACTGGAAACATTAAAATGTAGGGACTCTAAGGTCCAGGAGGCTTTGGGATATAGGAGCAGCAAGATCTGATGGACTCTAAGGTTTGGGGATCCGTAAGGTATAAAGATCCTGAGGTTTGGGATTAATAAAGCCTTGAGAACTTTGGGGTACCGGTTACTACAGTGTGGGGGTTGAAGTTTAGAAAAGGTCCTTAATCCATAGCAGTTTAGGCACACCTGTCCTATTCGCATGTGCCTCCTGTGACTTGAATTATTTAACAACCAAAAACAAGAGAACCCTTCAAATTCTCTTAGACCAATCTAAACGTATGTTTTGGTCCTTTGGGCACTACACTTTCAGAGCCTCCAGGCTGAGGCTCTGAGTAGGTAGAGATGACCTCTCTTGGTCCCAGGCCTAGGATGAGCTCTCTTGGTCCCAGGCTTAGGGGAGAATCAAATGCAGACAAGTTGGTTGGGCCAGAGATGCTGAATGACCTATTATTCTTCCAGAGGAAAGCAGAATTCCAACCCCTCGTCTGGCACTACCTGTGGGCTTGGCCTTGGGGCCTGCACGGGAGAAGTTGGCACCAGAGGAGCCTCCAGAGAAGAGGGCTGTACTGATGGGCCCCATGGACCCACCTCGAATCAGTGCACCTCCCAGTTTCCTGTCCCGTGGAAAGGTTCCTCTGAGGGGTGAGGAGGGGCTTAAAGTTAGAGGGCTTTGGGCTTGTGCCTTGAGGGAGGATAGATCTATTAGGTTTTGGAAGTGGGACAGACAAATCTTTCTGTAGACAACTGTGTGATTACAGATACAGGGCTGAAGTGGAATGAGGGCTATCTATAGGAATGGAGATGGGGGGGCTTCTAAATCTGAAGTCTGATTCCACAAATTGTGACTCCTGTCCTCCCCACCATGGACAGAAGAACGCCTGGATGGGCCTCTCAATCTGGCAGGCAGTGGCATCAGCAGTATCAACATGGCGCTAGAGATCAACGGGGTGGTCTACACTGGTATGGATACTGTAGGTTGTCTACACTGGCATATGGAGTCAGGATTTAGACTAGCATGGGAACTTTACACTTTCTCTACTAGCATGAGGTTTAGGAATATCTGAACTTGCATGGATAATTTGGGATTTAGAGGATTGTTGCATTGGCATGGGTTAAAGGGGATATCTACATAGCATGGGATCCGAGGCAAGGTCTCTGTAGCATGGTTACTATGGGATATCTGCCTTGTCATAGGCCTGTGTATTAGTATCAATATTTCTTGCTTACCTGTTTGAGGGTATCTACATTGGCATAGGAATCTCTTACTGACTGGAGGGGCTTATCCTCAATGGTGTGTAGTGCTCTCACAATCAGAACACTTATTTTTATTTCCTTCTGTTTCTGTGTTCCAATCCCGCTTGTGATTGCTTTTTACAATCTCCTTGCCCTTTTGCTAGGCGTCCTCTTTGCTCGTCGCCAGCTTGTGCCAGCTTCCCAGGGCCCAACCAACCCTGCACCCCCACCTTCTGCAGGACCCCCTTCCAGCACCTTGCCTTGAGAGTTCCTACTCAGAACTAAGAGTCCCAGACCCACTGCTGAGGAGGAGGAGGCACCCTCCCACCTTGATTCTTTCAGGATGCCTATTCTGGGATTCAGCCCTGGGAGATGACAGCACTCCACCTCCATGCCAAAGGGATTTCTTTTGCTGTTCCATCTACCTCATTGTAAAAGGGGGACACCTCCTTCTGGCAAATTCCAGCAGCATCTACCAAAGAATTTCCCCAGTAACCCCTATCATTTCCTCATGTGCCTCTGTGTCAACATCATCTTTGGCACCCCACCTATTAGGGTCAACCTGCTTCTCTTCAGGAGCCAGGTGAAGGCTCGGATTGGGGTGTTGTGATGGAATCATCCCTCTGGTCGCATCTGGAAAATAAAGCTGTGCTCTCTCCCTCTCTAGTGCCTCCTCTTCTTGTTTGGGTGTGGGAGATGGGAAGGAACGATGTGATACTGCCTTAGGCCAGGAGCTCTCCCAGGGGAAGGCAAAATAGAGACGCCTCATGAGAATAGCTCCATGAGAATGGAAGAGCATGGTGTCTTGAATCAGATAGCTTGGGTTCAAATCATGAATCTGTCACAGAAGTGCTGAGTGTCCTTTTACAAATCACTTAAAACCTTAAAAGACTCCTCAGACAGCTTCCTACTGATTTCTGTGTCTGGGAATAGTGGGCGTATTTATAAGTGCACCCTCGGGGAATAGGTGAGAAAAACTCTTTGGTACCGAGGAATTAGAAGAAGAAAGGCATAAGTCTTGACAAACAGGAGCTGGAAGCCAGGGTACGATCCCAACGCAGTGCGTTGCCTAGGAACCAGACCGCTTTTGACACCTTTTACTCTTCCGAACGAATCACTTCCGGCCTTGAAGGGCTAGATCACACGTCATTTCCGGCGCGGAAAAGGCCGGCGAAGCACTTGGATTGGTCGGCCTTCCTATTTAGGCGGACATCCCAGCTTCTGGCTGTTCCGCATCTGAGTCCTGGCAGCAGTAGCGATGGCTGCTCTGACGGACCTGCAGCGGCTGCAGGCCCGAGTGGAGGAGCTGGAGCGCTGGGTGTACGGGCCGGGCGGGGCGCTAGGCTCGCGGAAGGTGAGAAGTCTGTTCCCATGCCTCGTTTCTGGGGCAGGGCCAGAGCAGTCCATTGGCTTTGCCTTTGGAATGGATGCGACAGCTTCAGTCCAGTCCCGGCGTCCGCAGCCCACCCTTTGAAATGACAAAGATCTGGGAGCTCCCGGAACTGATTGGACCCTCGGGGTCCATCCCCGAGAGTGTGGGAGGAGATCTGCAGACGGTTAGGCCTGTTTGAGATGGGTTCAGTGACAACTGTGACTTAAGACTTCGCCCCTGCCGTCGCAGGCTAGTCGGGGGAGAGTTGACACACTTTAGAAGTTAACTAATGAGAATTTCAATAAGAGCTGAAGTCCACAATGGAAGTGCCGTTCTGGAGTCCTGTGTAATTAATTGCTAAATTAATTGTGCAGGGGAAGGTCCGTGGGACCCTAGAGGAGGCAGGGCACAGGTGGATAGGAACGCATCAAGGATGAGAGGTGAGCTCTGAGAAGGCTTGGATTGGTAAATTAGGGATTTAGCACTAGGTGTATAGATGTGACTGGCATCCCACACCAGTGATTGAATTTTGACAATTATGAGACTTAGGTGCCCTCTAATCCCCTGGAAGCATTTCCTGAAGAACTTCTGGTAGGGTGCCAGGCATCTCCTGAAGCCCAGTGGATCAGAGGTAATGATTGTGAAATTAGTTGTTACTAGCAGACTGTATTCCCATTTGAGAACCAATTTCTCAAAACATTCTCTCCTTTGGCATCTATGGTTCTAATCCTCTTGATTTTCCTTCTACCTTTGTAGATGCTGCTTTCAGTCTATTTGTCTCCACACATATTCGTCCCTTGAATGTTAGCATTCTTTATCCTCTACCCTAAAACCTCCCCCTCTATTTGACCCTTGAATATTGGAATTCCTCACCTTCTGCCCTTAAATCTTAGATTATCTCATTGGCTTCCATAGTTTCAGTTACTGTTTACATGTCATTGTGTTTCAAATGTGTATCTTTAATCCAAATTTCTGTTCTGAGAACCTGACTTATATGTTCATTTGTCTACTGGTATTTTCCACTTGGATATCGAACAGATATCTCAAACTTAATCCATTTGCTCTTAACTCTACTTTATCTCTCCCCTAACCTGGTTCTCTTCTGTATTCCCTAATACAGGGATTGCACCATCACTGGGATCTTAGAGGTTATCCTAGACTCTTCAATCTCCCATGCTAGAGTTGATGTTGAGGGGGTGGGGCTAAAAGTAGGCCAGCCAGTGTGGCTGCTAGCAAAATCATTCCGTCCTGAAGTAATGACGTCCTGGATGCAGATACTTTCATTTCTCATAACCAAACCCAGGGTTTAGGAACTAGGGCGTATATAGTGTGTACTGGTACCCCATAAATTCTAAATTACCTCCCCAGATTTGAGTCTCCCCAAGGTGTACATTATTCTTTTTCCTTCCACTTCAGGATCTCAAAGGTTGGGCTGCATCTTCTTTATGTGAGAGAAGGGGACCAACTTAGATTATTGGGAATCAGAGGCTTGAGAATCTAGAGTAATGAGTGTTCTTTACTTCTTCCAATGCTTGAGATATATCTTGGAATTAATCTCTACTCCCCTTACAGGTGACTGATGGTCTTGTCAAAGTACAGGTGGCTTTGGGGAACATTGCCAGTAAGAGGGAAAGGGTGAAGATTCTGTACAAAAAGAGTAAGTGGTTTCATGGAATGTCTGCCTGACCTACTTCCCATGCTTCTTGGGACCTGACCCTGACCTTTCAATTAGTAGGTCACTGGAATAGCCCCATAGGATAGAAAGAATGTGAAGAAGACATTTCCCTGCTGAAGTGGTGAATAGAGATGGACTTCTCTACCTTGTGGATAAACCACAAGTCCATGTCAGTGTTCTAAAGTATGGAATGAAAGCTCTGCCTCACAATTTTCCTTGATGAAGTCAAGGATGAGGCTGTGGTGTTTCTCTAGGCAAGGTTAAAAGGCAGGAAAGAAATTAGTCACTGAGAACCCTGGCCTTGGTTCAGCCAAGCCTTTTTAATTATGTCACAGCTGGTAACTTGCTCAGTAACTAAAAACTAGACAAAGCCCTGGCTGCCTTGGTGGCATTGAAGAGGAGAGGGGCCTTTTACCCTTGGTGAGAATAGGTTGGTGAGAATGCTGAGGGCCTCAGAGTGGTGACAGTGATTGTGTTTCCAGCTCCAAAGCAGGAGGTCAGCCAGCAGGTTATGAGAATGGAGAAATTGGGAAGTGGGATAGGGAACCTGGTAGGTGCCCTCTAAGGGGGTACTGTGAGTATCAGCTCCTCAATCAAGGTTCTCCCCAAGGATGACCACCCCCAAACTTCCTTTATAAGACATGGTCACACTCTCCACTCCATCTTTTTTTTTTTTTTTGGTGGTACTGGGATTTGAACTCAAGGCCTGTGCTTGTTAGGCATCTGCCACTTGATCCATGCCCCCAGTACTCCCTTTTGTTTTTTTTGCTGTACTGAGGTTTGAACTCAGGGCTTCAAGCTTGCTAAATTATAAGGTACTGTGTGTGTGTGTGTGTGTGTGTGTGTGTGTGTGTGTGTGCGCGCGCGCACACGCGCTGGGGAATCAAATCTAGGGCATGCTAGGCAAGCACTCTACCACTGAGTTACTCTTCAGCCCTTATTTTCCATCTTGCTATTTTTCTAGTTGAAGACCTGATCAAATACCTGGATCCTGAGTACATTGATCGCATTGCTATACCTGATGCTTCTAAGTTGCAGTTCATTTTAGCAGGTAATGCTGTGCATGTGCATCTGTGGATGTGGGGAAGTTGGCACAGAGATGGTCTCCCTCTCTCATCTTATTATATATACAGTCCTGAAAGCTGCTGTCTGGTATTTTGGCCTGGCTTTGGGGCTGGGGCCCAAGGTGATCCTGTGGGTTTGTAGTTGGCACTGGGTGTAGTACACGTCTGGGCCAGCTTCAGGGCATGCTGCTAGCTACAGTGGAAGCTACTTCAATGTTGTAGGATTTTCTTTTAGAATCTTCCTCACTCTGCTCACTGGACAGAGGATTTTCTAGGATAGGGGAAGAGGGGTAGAGAATATTGTCATTTGGAAGAAGGGAGAGTATTGGCATGAGTTTCAACATCTTTCATGTGAGAAATAGCTAGGATTTCAGAGTGCTGGGCAGGAATATTAGCTACTTCATAGTTTTCTGAGCAACTGTATTTATTCATCCAGAAGATATTCAGCAGGTCAAGATGGCATACACCTGTGGTCCCAGCTACTCAGGAGGCTAAGGCAAGATTGAAAATTTGAGGTCAACTTGGGGAAACACAATGAGACTGTATCTTAAAAAAAAAAAAAAGAAAAGAAAGAAAACATTCAAATGATCATCTACTGTCATCAGACCTTATTCTGGGTGTCAGATATACAGGAAGTAGTCCTTGCCCTCATGTACACAACTAGAGCTAGTGCTCGAGGTCCCTGCTTTAGGGACCTGAACTTGTAACCTTGCTTGGAGATCAGACTCCTAGGAGACTGATCAATGAATGATATCTAACACTGAGGACTGGATGAAGAGGGGCAGTTCCTGTGTCAGGGCTCCTGATCAGTTGCCATGACATAGGCATTAAGTTTGGAGATCTTCCCCTGCACTGCCTCTTGAGCCCAGCCTCTCCATTCCTCCCCATGCACTGCCTTAGGGAGTGCATATCCACTCACACATGAACGGTTGTATAGTCTCCTAAATCATCTTGACTTTAACCTGTCCCATCTTGAATGTAATCTAGTCTCATCTTCACAAAACATGTCACTTACCTACTTGTTTTTGTGTGTGTGGGGGGGGAACTGGAGTTCACATTTTCAAAGCAGACTCTCCCAAAACAGGGACTCTACTGCTGGAGCCACACCTCCAGGCCAGCTTAGGCTGGCCTAAGCTTCGGTCCTCCTAATCTCAGCCTCCCAAGTAGTTAGGACTACTGGTATGAGCCACCACCCAGCTACTTGCTTACCCTTGAACCTCAGGTTCTCTTTTCTTTGCTAGGGTAAAGTCCCAGTTCCTCAGCATGCCATTCAAAGCCTTCCAGTCTACTGGGCCTGCCGTCCCATCCAGCTATTTCTTGTGGTCTCCCTGTTCTAGTTTAGCCAATTGAGGCAAGCATTCCTGCCTCAGTCATTTGCACATAACAGTCCTCACTCTTGAATGCTCACTCTATGGATATCAATGCATCAAACCCCTCTGTGCATACACAGCCTAGCCCAGATCCTACTCTTACTCTTCTCACTGGCCTCTTCCCTTGTTGTCCTCAGCTCTCATGTATTTATAATTATATGTGCCTCTGAGAACCACTGAGCAGAACCTATCTGGTATAGTCTTCCTGGTGTAATCTCCTCTTACAGACTTTTCCAGGCATCCTTTAAAGTACTTTGTCTCCTGTGGCCTAGGAACACTTGCAAGTTGTTGATAAGAGGCTAGAAGAAGTCTTGGGGTTAACACGTAGAGAAAGGAGGGATTTGGAGGCTCTTTGGGCTCAAAACAGATTAAACAAAGGCATCCAGAAGAGGTGGGGGCAGGATGGGAATGTGCACTGCCCCAGAGAAGGGGGCAGTGGGTAGGTTTGCTGCCCAAAACTCCAAGGCCTAGTGATCTCCTCTGCCAAAAGAGATGCTCGGCCCCTTCTTGGAGATAGCAATGCCCAGCTTGCTTCACTGCCTCTGTCTTGTCTTTATGCTTCAGAGGAGCAGTTCATCCTCTCCCAGGTTGCACTCCTGGAGCAGGTAGATGCCTTGGTGCCCATGCTGGACAGTGCTCCCATCAAAGGTACCTCTCTGGGGCTGTAGCTCCACTATTGTACTTGGGGAAGTGGGCGGATGGGCAAGTCTTCACTGTGTCTCAGGTTCCCTGGGCTCAGGCTGAGTCTGTTCCTTGCCTTTATTCCCACCTGGGGGTACCTGCCACCTAACTGGGATTAAAATTCTTAGGATAGGGAGCCTAGTTTTAGGACCTCAGTCAATGTGGGCCTAAGAATACTAGCATAAGCTTTCAGAGCCCCTGATTCTGCAGCTTCCTTCTGCTTTCTACCCTACCCCTCAGTATTCCCCCTTTCAAGGTGCTGCAGAGCCCAAATTTCACTGTTAGAGCCCCCTGCCAGATGTGTGAATTCTTCCTGCTGCACTGCTGAGAAAGTCCCTGGGCCTGAGCTTTGACGAGTAGGCAGTGACTTTAATTGAATCCAGATATCCATCTTGTCTGTCTCTGGAGGTATTTTTCCCTGCTTCCCCCTCCCTGCCCTTGATCAGTTACCCACTGAGTATCTGACAGCCTTAAGCTGCAGGCCCATCATGGTAGCCATGGTGTTGAATTTCATGTGGACAGTTTAGGGACCTGGCATTTACCCTTAGCCCACCTGCAGGCTCCCTGTTCCCTATGCCAGACAGACTAACCCTGATGGGTTGAGAGCAAAGGAATAGGTTCCAAAATAGACAAAGCTGTCTTTACCTGGCCTTGCTCACAGCACTTTGATGGGGTGGGGTAGCACTGGGGACTCCAAGGTTTTGTCTCCTTGGCACCTGTTCTTCCCTTCCCCTGTGGGTTCTGGAGCAAGATGGGTGGGCAGGGAGCCCCCACCACCACTACCACCACCACCACCTCCAGCTACAGCGGTCGATGAAGGCTGGCGTTTGTTTAGTTTCTCCACTCAATACTCTAATCCTGCCGAAGACCTAATAGACTATTGAGCAGTCCCGGGGGAGGGCGCAAGCATCATTGGGCAGTGTGCGTTGTGTTTTACAGCCGTTCCTGAGCATGCCCTCCGCCTGCAGCGCTTGGCCCAGATCCACATCCAGCAGCAGGTATGGGAGGGGAGAGGACTGGAAGGGAAGGTCAAGGTTGTAAGGCACCTCATCCCTACTCCTGCCTCCTGGGGAAGCAGCCTCAGGCCCTTCTGTTGTCAGCTCAGTGGAAGTTTGGAGGTTTATTCTTTATCTTTCATATGCCCTAGAAAGGGGAAGGGACTTGCCTACCGCCATATCCAGGCCTTCTGCCTCCCAGAGTAGGGCTACTCTTTTTGGGGTTTTTGTTTTGTTTTGGTTTGTTTGCTATTTCCAGGCTCTGGTTTCAAGTTTAAAGAGGGTTCAAAACTAGGGGTGGAGGAGGAGGAGACAGATACTACAGGGAATGTTTATTTAATATGTACCTACTTCCCCTTCCATCAAAGTTTGGATTGCTGTTAGGGCACCCATCCTGGGACCTGAAAGTGCCCCCTTATCAATTTGCTCTTTTTGCACTAAGTTTAAACATCACCTTTTCTAGGCTTTGTGTAGAATGATGAGGTGAAGACTTTGTCCAATTCCTTTCTCTGCTACACTTTGCCCTACAGGACCAGTGTGTGGAGATCACCGAGGAGTCCAAGGCTCTTCTAGAGGAATACAACAAAACTGTATCCTTCGTGCTCAGCTGGGCTCCTAATGGGTGCTTTCCCCAAGCCCACCTCTAGCTGTCTCTCATCCCATTCCAACCAGCCTGTCTGTTCTTTCCTCCCCAACTCTTGCCCCTTTTGGCACATGCAAAATATCCCCACTCTCTCACTAAGAGTCCTGTTCTCACCTTGACCTGTGACCAGACGATGCTTCTCTCCAAGCAATTTGTGCAGTGGGATGAGCTACTTTGTCAGCTAGAGGCCGCCAAGCAAGTGAAGCCAGCAGAAGAATGACAGCTGCTCTCCATCCCAGGGCAGCCAGGTTCCAGGGCCATGTGCCAACCTGCCTTTATAACAAGGCAGAGGCAATTTTGTATTTATTGGATTCAGGGACCACCTGTCTGCACTCAGATGAGGCTCTGAGGTCGAGTTATCTGAGCATTGTCATTTGCACCCCCATCAGTGTATTTATTCCATGGACAATAAACTGTAGAGATTACTGGAGGAATGTGTCAGTTTTCTAGTCAAGGATGGGCTTGGTGATGAGAAGGGAGGTGATGGAAAGCAGAGTAGTGAATCTACTTAGCAGTGGGACCAGGAACACACTCATCCTGGTCTAGCTTTCCGAGAGATGTAGAGCTCTCAAATCATTTGATTGATGTGAGTGGGATGTTTATGTATCCAGTTATTCCACACTTAACCAAGTACCATGTAAATGTTAGGTGCCATGCCAAGTAAAGGAGGACACCTAATCCTTGTCCTGCACAGGCTAGCTAGGGAGACAATCAAGGAAATGGGTTGTCCCATCAGGTGGATTCAGAGTCCTTTCAGGCACAGAAGACAAGGGATTTGAGAGGGAATAGCCGTGCTGGACGTGAGATGTGGGGATATTCAGAACGAAGGCAGAGAGCAGCGTGTGGGAAGGCAGAGAGGTGCCTTGAGATGTCTCTTTTGGGGGAGACATTGGCACCTACCTGGTGCCATTAGCCAAGGAGCCCAAAAGGTTTGGATGTGGGAAGTTGAGAGGGAGGGGCAGGAGAGCCTGATGAGAAAGGGCCCAGAGAAACGGAGATTGGACTGCACACCACCAAGTGTTTGCTGCCCCCTTGTGGCCTCAGGGAGTGCTTTGGCTCCCAATTACCAGCTGACCACCCGACCTGTGGGGTCTCACTGGCACCTCAAATTCAACATGTCCAAACTGGTCTGAAATCTGGACGCCATCCTAGACTACTTCTCCATCCAAACAGTTTCTAACTCTTCACTACTAGTAGCTCCCAATTTAATCTCCTTTTCTCCATTTCCACTGCCAGATCATTCAACAAATCATTTGACAAATATTTGAGCGCCTGTTAGGCCAGGCGCTGTGCTAGGTTCTGTGGACACGCCCCTGTGTTTAGGAGCGCTGTGAGGATTGCATGGGGTACAGCCTCTTCCCAGGGTCACCAGCATCTGCGCCCCATCACTTCCTTCCTCCCCCCTACACACCATTCTCCGCTGCAGCCAGAATGAGCTGTGTACGAGATGTGGTTTGGCAATGCCCACAGGATGAGGTCGAAGCCCTGAACTCGGTAACTAAAAATCTTGCCCGCGCAGTAGCAGCAGCCGCCGCCACTCCTAACGACCTTTTGCTGTCATTCACGATGAAACCCGCAGTTTCACCCGTGCTTCTGGGCGTGTCTACAGGTAACTCCCGCCCTCCCATCTCCTGAGGGCCAAATCCACATCCTTGAAACGCGGGACTCCTGGGCTGGCCGTCCCACCTGCGTGCTGCTGGTCCAGGCTGGGCTCGCAGGCACAACCTGACTAGTCCTGGGTTTCCCTCAGGCCCCGCCCCTCCGGCGTGCGCGCCCCCGCGGCCTCGGCGCGTTCGCGGCACGCGCGCCATCTTGGTCATTCTGAAGGTCCAGCGAGAGCTCACGGTGGCGGTAAGAGTCAGGTCCGCCCGAGTGAGGGCACCTAGAGCTGTGGAGCGGGACGCCTGCCTCTTGAGTGCAGCGACCCGCAGGGCCCTAGAAGCGGCCGGTGGCGATGGACACAGCTGGGGTTGGCCAGGAGCTCAAGCAGCCCTCTGTGCGACTCTCGGCTCCCGAGCTTCTGAGTGGCCTAGCTTAATGCAGATCGACCAGGTCGCCTCGGGGGGAGGGCTGCGTGGCCCTTTGCTGGGCCTTGCAAGGGCTTTGGTTTTGTCTTTGGGGAACCCGGGAGCCTGGGGCAAAGAGGCTCGGCCCTATCCTCTGGGAGCACAGAGTGGGGCCCGTCCCTGAACTTAGGAGTCTGGCCCTGTCTCAAGGAGCCCCAGATTGGGGGGGGGGGGAAGCTTGAGGCGATAGGGGCTAGCCCTATCCCGAAGAGCCGGGTGTGGGGGGAGTTTGGTCCTGTTTTCGGGAGGTGGGGGTGGATCTTATGGCCCAGTCTAGAAGAATGGCGTTGCGAGGGGTTAGCAAGCCTTGGCCCCTGTCGTGAGAACCTGGGGTGAGGGGATGAGATCCTCTTCCTGGGAAGTCTGGGGTCGGGTACGGGGCAATATCTTGAACGGAGGTGGAGGATAGCCCCGGGCATGTTCCTAGCACTCACCTGACACTTTCCTGCAGTGGGCACCAGAGAGATTCACGGAGGCCACAGCAAGCAGGATGGAGCACTACCGGAAAGCTGGCTCAGTAGAGCTCCCAGCACCTTCCCCAATGCCCCAGCTACCTCCGGACACCCTGGAGATGCGAGTCCGAGATGGCAGCAAAATTCGAAACCTTCTGGGGCTGGCACTGGGTCGGTTGGAGGGCGGCAGCGCAAGGCATGTGGTGTTCTCAGGTTCTGGCCGGGCTGCAGGGAAGGCTGTCAGCTGCGCTGAGATTGTCAAACGGCGAGTCCCAGGCCTGCATCAGCTCACCAAACTGCGTTTCCTGCAGACAGAGGACAGCTGGGTCCCAACCTCACCTGATACAGGTCTAGACCCCCTCACAGTGCGCCGCCATGTGCCTGCAGTGTGGGTATTGCTCAGTCGAGACCCCCTGGACCCCAGTGAGTGTGGCTACCAGCCCCCAGGAGCACCCCCTGGTCTGGGCTCCATGCCTAGCTCCAGCTATGGCCCCCGGCCCCGGAGAAGAGCCCGAGAGACACGATCCTGAAGATCTGCTGGGCCTGATTGTTCTCTAGACCTGACTATCTGGGATGGCTGTGCCTTCTCTGAAGAGCACTTGTGACTGCTCAACATCCTCAACAAGGCTTGGATCCACAGAATTCCTGCCTCCCCTTTCTCTGGAATGTGGGGAGGGTCTGCTATGAAGAATGACAGGTGTGGGGTTTCTGCTGAGTTCTGGATTGCTTGAGAAGGGTCTACTCTGCTTCTACCTACAGTACATGTGATCTGCCTTCTGACAGGTCCAGAAAGGGAGTTAGAAATAAAGATTCAGTTTGACTGATGAGCCTTTGCTTGGCCTGCTATGTGCACGTGGGATTAAAGGAATGGGAGTCTCTGTCTCCCCGTCTGGGAGCTAGGGGAATGGAGTCAGAGGAAGAATAAGTTTGACTGATGCTGGGAGGATCTAGTAGCAATAAGAAACCTCAGCCAGGCACCGGTAGCTCACGGCTGTAATCCTAGCTACTCAGAAGGATAGAGGTTTGAAGCCAGCCAGGGCAAATAGTCCATGAGACCCTGTCTCGGAAAAACCCATCAGAAAAAAGAGCTGGTGGAGGGACTCAAGTTGTAGGCCCTGAGTTCAAACCCCAGTACCAGGAAAAAAAAAAAAAAAGAAAAACCCTCAAAAGTAGTAACCTAAATCTCTCTGGGCCCCTGGCTGGTTTAGGGACTATGCCAGGTCAACATTTTTCCCTATCTGTGCCATATGTTATGGTATAATGGGATCATAGAACTTGCCTGGGTTCTGCCTCCTGCAAGTTACTGCCTTGTGATCTTAGTCTAGTTCCTGCTCTGGTCTTTAATGCTTTCATCCTTAAAATTGGGATATGAATGTTTATCTCATGGGGTTGTTAATGAGGATTAAGGAAATGTACATATTTGACACTTAGATGCCAACTGGGCTATATAAGTGTTAGTTGCCATTATAAATGGCTCAGATTATAAACATTTTTTTTTAATGCCTTGCTGGGCAAGTACTATACTACTTGAACCCTTGCCCCCAACCCTTTTTGCTTTAGTTATTTTTCAGATACTTTTTGTCCAGGGTGGGCTTCAGACCAACCAAGACCCTCCTATCTATGCCTCCTGTGTATCTGGGATTATAGGCGTGCTCCACCACACCTGGTTTATTTGTTTAGGTGGAGTCTTGCTAACTTTTTGCCAGAGCTGGCTCTGAACTTTGATCCTGTCTCTGCCTCCTGAGTAGCTGGGATTACAAGCATGCACCACCATGCCAGCTTCAAACATGCTTTTTCCTATATTAAAAGCATAACCTCATAATATTTTTCTCTAGGTCTCATTGCCTTTTAACTCCTTGTTGCTCTCTTTTTGACCTCACTTTGGCTCTAGACTCATAGATTGACCATGGTAAGGTTGAGTGTGAGGAACAAGGTAAATGGTTGCATCAGTAGCCAGGGAGCTATAGGCACTAGAGCAGGACTAGGCAGCAGTGGTCTCTGAAGAGTTGAATCAGTTGGGTCTCCAACGGGTTTCAAGATTTTCTCCTGCCTGGCGCCGGTAGCTCATGCCTGTAATCCTAGCCATTCAGGAGGTAGAGATCAGTAGGATCATGGTTTGAAGCCAGCCCTGGGCAAATAGTTCACCAGATCCTATCTCGAAAAAAACCATCACAATAGAAGGGCTGGTGGAGTGGCTCAAGCAGTAAGCGCCTGCCTAATAAGCATGAGGCCCTGAGTTTAAGCCTCATGCAAATTTCTCCAATGTGTTCAGCATCCTGTATGTCCAGTTAGGAGGAAAGGAGAAAGGTGGGGCCCTTCTGGGCTCACATTGTAGCAAGATGGGCCCAGCAATTTGGAGTGATGTTTCCCTCAGAACAGACAGAGGGCTTGGGATTAGTTAGGAAAGAGAACTTGGGGCTGAAAATCTTGAAATAGGCTTCAAGGAGGGATGAGGTGACCACAGTAGGCTGTGGTCAGAACTTTTTTTAATATTGTGTCCTTTGTTTTCAAGATAAGTCAGCCTTGAGTGGTGTGGAGGACCCTGAGGCAGGGACAGGTGATAAGGATTCAGGATATTAGGAGAGATAAAACCTGCTCTATGAGGATCTCCAGCCTTCAAACAGAGGGCCATGAAGCATCTAACACACCCCATTGTACATCTAACACCATATGCCATTGAGACTGCTGTGGTGACTCAGCTGTCTTTTTTTTTTTTTTTAATTTGCAGCACTGGGGTTTGAACTCAGGGCCTCATACATGCTAGGCAGGCGCTCTTACTGCTTGAGCCATTCCACCAGCAACTCAGGTGTCTTATTGCTAGCAACTGCCTGAGTCCCATTCTCCTTTTAGCTAATTCAGGGCTTTGACTCCCTCTCAACTTCTAAACACTTTCTCTCTCTCTCTCTCTCTCTCTCTCTCTCTCTCTCTCTCTCTCTCTCCTCTCCTCTCCTCTCCTCTCCCTCTCTCTCTCTTTTTCTCTCTGTCTCTCTTTTCTTTTTTTTTAAGACACTATGTAGTCCACACTGGCCATAAACTTGGGATCCTCCTGTCTCAGCCTCCCAAGTGCTGAGATTACAAGCATGGTGGGCACAACTGACTCATACTGCTTTTCCTCTGAACTTCTCTTTTGTGTCTTCTGCCATCAGCAGTTTTTTGTTTTTGTTTTTTGGGGACTGGGGCTGGGGTTTAAACTCAGGGCCCACACCTTGAGCCATTCCACCAGCCCTTTTTTGAGATAGGGTCTCTCGGAACTGGCTTCCAACCTTGATCCTCTTGATCTCTGCCTCCTGAGTAGCTAGGATTACAGGCCTGAGCCACTGGCACTTGGGTTGCCAGCAGCAGTTTTTAGTGTCATGAGGTCTTCAGAACTTTGGGGTCAGACTATCTTGCAGACTATCTTGACTATCTTTACTTATTATCCTAGCCTGATCCATTTTGCTGTGGCTAAGGTGAAGGGATCACATGGAATGAGCATGGTGAACTGTGCTGAAGGAGTGATTCAGTAAGGTGACATTGCAAACTCTGGAACCCCAAGAGGGACTCCAAATTGGGCTGTTCATCACTGAGGCACCACTTGAGTTCCTCAGGATGATAGGACAGGTACTGTGGAAAGGAAGAACTGGGACAAAAATCACTTAGAAACCCAGATCTACAGCTCAGAGAATCAAGAAACAGGCTATAGACTGAGGGAGGGATGACTAGCTATTCTGGGGCATTTTCCCTTCCCCTTGTCCTCCACAGGGCCCAGCTGGAGTCTGTAGGAGGAATGGCATGGAGGAAGCCAGAGAGAAGTAAGGCCTTTGGAGTAAGAAAGCCTGCCCATTTAAGAGAACACAAGAGTTGGGTATGATTCTTTACTTCTGCTTTCACCTCCACTGAAATGTGGCTTCTCCCATAATTTAGAAATTGTACCTTGGCACAAAAGGTAAAGAAGTGGGGCCAGTTCTTTCAAGAAGTTGGAGGAGATAATCCCGTAACTTGGAGATGAGGCTGAGCATGTTTGCAGATAGGTGTGGAGGTGCAGGTAGGAGTTGAAGTTCAAGAGTCTTCTATATTTGTGAAACAGGAATCCAGCTCTACAGCTGAGAATGAGGCAAGGAAGCTGGGGAAAGGAAGTGTGAGATAGTTGTTGGTATTGGGAGAGGTGACAAGAGGGGTATAAAAGTCCAATGCAGGCTGGTGACTATGGACTTGTATCATCAGTAAGGATGTGTGAGCTCTAGCAGCACCCACAAGACAAGTGAAGACACAGAAAAAGCACTGTTGCATTCTTCCAAACTGAAGTCAACAGTTGAAGAGTATTGAGACTAGCAAAAAGAGTACATGTAGAGAAAGGGCAAAGGCATTCAAACTGGGTTGGGAGGGAAGTGAAGAGAGGAAGTGCAGGGGGATCAGTGGCCTAGAGGTCTTCAGGAAGATGTCTGGGTGGGGTGAGATGGAGTGTTGTCCAGGGGTAGGAACATAGTAACTATATCAGATTCCTATCCCTGTAACAAAGTGCTATAAGCTGGGTGAGAACAACAGAATTTATTGTCTCAATTCTAGAGGCTATAAGTCCAAAACAGTTGTCAACCCAGTCATTTTTCCTCTGTAACATGTATGGAAATCTTTCCTTGCCTCCTAGTTTCTGGTGTTTTGCCAGCAATCTTTGACGTCCCTGGCTTATAGATGCAGCACTAATCCTCTGTCATCACAAGGAATTTTCCTTGTGTGTCTTCACACCATAATCCCTTTTGTGTGTCAGTCCAAATTTCCTTTCCTGTAAGAACACCAGTTGTATTGGATAAGGGCCCATCCTGGTGGCCTCATTTAACTTGACTACCTCTGTAAAGACCCTATTTCCAAATAAAGTCATATCTTGAGATACTGAGAGGATGTCAATGTATCTCTTTCTTGGGGGCGGGGGGAGACACAATTCAATTTACAACAGCCAAAGGATTGGATGGAAGAGTCAGTCAGTTTTAGAAGCTGATAGGATTTCTTTGTGAGCATGAGAATTGATAGCTGGGTAGCTTGGAGGAAAAAGTCAGTGAAGATCAAGTCCAGGAATTGAGAGACAGGAGAGGAGCATCCAGGCGAATGGAATCATCTAAGATAGAAAGTAATGTCCATTCTCATACCTGCTTTAGAGGTGGCATGTATAGCCTCATATTTGTTACTCTTGAAATGGGGACATCAGAACACAGTATTTTGGGAAAGTATTATGTACTTCCCAAATCCAAGCAGGCATCAAGTCCTGCCATTTTGTCTCAGGTCTCTCCATTCCCACAGCCTGTGTTGGTTTGTGCCCTTCCTCATCTTGCAATAGTCTTCTTAACTGGTCTCCCTTCTTTACTCTCCTTTGAGCTCTCCTCCAAACCAAGCCACTGACTATTCCTTTTCTGTTTGTTCTGTGGTGCTGTGTTTGAACTCAGGGCTTTGCACTTGCTACTCAAGTGCTCTACCACTCGAGTCACACCCCCAGGTCCTGTTCCTTTGTTTAGAATATATATGGTATATATTCCATACACTTGCATAATTTTCCCCCTTTTCTTTTCAGTCTTTGATCAAATGCCACCTACTCAAACTATTCCATTTAAATTTGCAGGCTAGCATTTTTAAAAGTCTCTTACCCTGACTTTTTTTCATGTATTTTTTTTACCTTTTAAATATAATGTACTTCTTTAAAATAAATTTTATTTATTGTCTCCACCTGACGAGAATATAAGTGCCAAAAGGACAGGAGTCTGTTTAATTCACTCCTGTAACCTAAGAATCTTGAACAGCATTTGGCTGTTCACTAAGTATTTAA